CTAAATTACATCACAAAAATAAAATAAAATTCGGACCTCATGCAATAATATTGAAATATATATTTGGATACACCAAAACTATAATTTGTATAAATCCGATTTGGCAATGGATTTGAATTTGGCAAAAAAAAAAAGAGCGTATTCCTAGATGGCGAATTCAATTGAATTCTGGTTATTTTTTGCATGACCACTGGTGTTAAACTTTAGTTATCTATTCAACCTTCACACTTAGCAATAGATTACTTGCTAACTAGGGAAACAATACCTTATGGCAATTGATGATTGATTCCTTACACAAGTCAAGTCAGCAAGTAGCCTAGGCCTACGCCTACCAATAACAGTAGTTTGTCATCTGCTTTCCATTGAAATGAGGGAACTTTTTAGGGAGGGAGGGAGAATATTAGAGGAAATTGATACCATCAACGAAGTGCTGTCCGCAAACATTGAAACACAAGCGAGATGACTTCTGGACTTGACAACAAGCAGTACTGCTAATAGATGATATCCACATTGCGCGACGTTTCGAATCTTTTGAAACAGTGGAATATAACTGAAGATCTATTTCGTTGTCTATTTATACTATACGTACAGCCAACGGAACAATACGGTGGTCACGTGACTTTGTTTACTGGACGGCAAAAAAACAAAAACGTCCATTTGGCTCCTGTCAGTTGCAAGTCGGATTATACCGGTACGTTTCCGTTTTGTTTGGCTGTTGAAAAGGGTTATTTCGTATTGTGCCGTTGGCTGTGCGTATAGTATAGACCAGGGCTGCTCAACTGGCGGACCGCGGTCCGAATCCGGACCTTTCGGGTATTCGATTCGGACCGCGACTAATTCTTTATTTTGGATCATTAGCCCCACTTTTGAAGTTTCCTTTTATAAAATCATTTTTATAGGTTTAAATATATACCGGTATATGAAAAGAACTCTAACGTCATAATAAACATTCTTACATACTGTAGCTAATAATCATTAGTCTGTCCGGTACCGTATGGTAGTCGTTGGTCTGTCGAGGAAGTGCGTGTTTAAATATAATTTCTAGAAAGTCCGGACCCAAATATTTCTGAAGTTTTGTATGCGGATCTTCGGTAAAAATAGTTGAGTAGCCATGGTATAGACCAGTGATTCCCAAAGTGGGCGATATCGCCCCCCAGTGGGCGAAAACGATACAGAGGGGGGCGAAAAAGTCTAGGGGGGCGATTTTGCGAAACCTGTTTTATGTTCGGCGCACTTGATTCTGTACTCTGTGTGCATTCGCAGGCTTGAATCACGTGGGCGATTATCACACGCGAAAGGATTTGTGGTCTAGTCTTCGCAGTAAGGCAAGGTAGTTTGCGTATCCCAGTGGTCGGCAAAATACGGCCGGAACAAAATAATCTGGACCGGGACGATTCACTGAATGGACCTTTCCCCGACCTTTGACCGCGGAAAATTCTTCCCATACTTTACCATTTTAAAATTTTCGGTACCCATTTTTAAGTGTGGTTTCGCGAGTTGTTACCTGTAAAATGGGGTATTTGTTTCAAACTATCATTCTAATACACACCATTTAACAATCTGTTTTTTAAAAGTACCGATAAAGAATTTTAGCCTAGTCTATCACAGCTATTTCTACACTAATTTTTGATTGCTGTATTTAAACTGAAACTCATAGAAAGACAAAGTAATCATTGACTTATTTGATTTATATTCAAATTTCCAAAAAACAACTAAAAACTAACGAATATAACTCAAAAACGCGAAAATGAGGTAATGTTCACGACCACTCCTGAAAATCTGCCTGAGTGAGAGTGTCTGAGCGCCTGCGAAAGGGGGCATTGTTACGTTTTTTGCATCTTGCTGATTGGCCAATGTCACGAAGTAAACAAGGAAGTCTATGCCCGGGGAAATATCCAAACGGCGGTTTTGACGATGAAATTTTTTTTATTTATAATCTACGCTCGAGGAGTAAATTACATTTTTTACGTAACAGAATTTATCGTGAGACACGTTTATACTGAATTATACTATATCCTAACAATGTAGTGAGCAGCCACTCGTTTAACGAGCCTACAATTTAATTATAATTAGACAAATGGAAACACGCAGAAAAGTTGATGCTGAGTGCAGGGGTTCAATAGCGCAGTAAATATTCGAATATATTGCAAAGCAATAAGGAAATAAAATACATATTTTATTCGAGAGATTGATCACTGCTTAATTTTTGTAAGAATGTATCTTCTTAAAGAAAATATTTATCAAAATTTCACAAATCATGCGGAAATATTCACTTCGATGTTTGAAAGTACGTATTTGTGCAAACCATTATTTTCGAAAATGAACATTACAAAGAACAAGCAAAGAAGTGGGTTTGGTGATGCCCATTTAGGAAATGTTTCAATCTTGGCGTCGTAAAGCTATCCAGCGTGATGCAGCAATAAGACAGTGTCACATTAAATGTCATTGTAATATTTTTTTAATAAGACGACTGAGTTGAGTTCACGAATTGTCGCAGTTTTTGCGCGCTGTTCCGTTTTTAACTTTCGAAAAATATATGCGACCCGCAAAATACTAGCAACCCTGAATTTTGTCCTGCGAGCGACATAAAATTTGCCGACCCCTGGGCCGTAGCTGATAGTCAGTCACGGCTTCTTCCACATCCGAGTCTATGAATCCAAAAACAAATGGCTGGTTAATTATGGACTGGTGATCGGACTGGAGGCCGTGATAGGATGAGGAATCGGGGATGAATTTTTCCGAATTTTTTTGGTGCAGGTCATCAGGCTGTACGAATGAATGAGATGTACGAAAATCATTATTATAAGTTTGGGGAAATTAACTTTGATTTTATTATTTTAATGTGAAATGGGGTGAATTTAGGGAGTGAAATGCTATAAGGCAAGAGTACACGGCGGTTTTTGAGATGGTAGAACTCTGGATTCTTTCATTTCCGACCTATTATATGGTAAAAAGGGGGTTTTCAGCCGTGCTACTATTGCTATTAAAACAACGAAATCACCTTTCCATCAGTAAACGGGGTAATTTAAGATATAATAAAAAACTCGCTGAAGAACACCAAGCTCATCTATCTCATTAAAAAACACTATAAACTATGATTTGTCTTCTTATTTGGTCTGTAATATATTCGTTTCTGACTTTATATTTTTTTGTAGTACAGGGGGGCGATGAAGTTGTATAAACTACTTTAGGGGGGCGATGGTCAAAAAAGTTTGGGAACCACTGGTATAGACAACGAAATGGAACTTCATGTGGATGTGTATAATTGTTAAACGAATAGTACCGGTATTTAGAATTAGATCTAGATGTAAGATTATTAAAACTCAAATCACATGCCTGATATGAAATCTAAGGGATTTTCACAAGATATCACAAGACTGGAGAGAACGATATAACTGTATAAAGTCTGAAAGTATATGCCAATTTTTTTTTTATCTTCAGTACCGGTATGGTAATTCACATAAACAGCTGAAACAGAGACTGCCTGAAAATTTGACTGTTTTGAAAAGCGTGTCTTTGTTTTCTGTCAGCAACATACGACATACATACTGTGAGCAGGGTTGCCAGACCCCAGCGATCAAAAAAAGCCAAATCAAGACTTGAAAAAGCCAACATATTTACTAAGTACAAAAGCCCCATGATTTGTCAGATTTTAAGCCCTTGGCAACGTACTGATGGAGTGATGATGATGTAGACTAGAGCTATCAGTTCATTCAGTGAGGCAAACAAATAGAAAGTAAAGTTCCTATAGAACTGTAGAAAGTAAAATAAATATCAAGCAGACAGCATCATTTTACCATTCAATATATACAATACAGGGTGCTGCTTCAGTCTGTCAGTATGTAATATACCTACATGTTTCTACTTAAACTTGTGATATACCGGTACCTTAAAAAATTCTCCCTATATCCAGATATCGTACTTTACTATTGAAAATTTGTTCACTTTTAAAATTTATAAACCATCAATTTTATTAAAAAATGCCGCTCACGAGTGAACCCATGATATCTAATTCAGTAATTTTAGCAAAGTTAATCACATCGTTACTGCAATTGCAGAATTAAACTAAAGCTCACATAAACTATATCAGGCATAATAAAATTAAGTTATACAACTATTTTTTGGAAACGGAACGTAAAACTGACAAATAACACGCAAAACTATAAAAACAAGGCGATGTTTACAACCCTGCTTGATCATCTGTCTGAGCAGCTGCAGAAACTGCAATTATTTCTCATTGGGTATGGTTAAGAGTTAATGCATTACCGATAATGTAACAAACAAGGAAATCGATGCTCCAGGAAATCCTAATGTTAAGTAGCCAAGTACGTGTAATACAGTAATAGGCTATTGTATACTGAAATATTGTAGGCTACTTCATATGATTTTAATAATAGAAACTAGAATGACTTGAAAAACGCCAAAAAACCAAACGGAAATTCTGACGCCAAACGCGTTTGAAAAATGGCAAATTTGGCGTTAAAAAAGCCAATATGGCAACCCTGACTGTGAGCTGTCAGAAAAATAGCTATCTCAAAAAACATTATTGGCAGGGCAAAAAGTAAGCTACAAAACTTCAATCTAGTAAAATCAGAAAGTGGAACAATATCACGGCAACAGCAATGTACGCCAGCAATGTTACTACGTCATTTAAATGCTGGTGTTAAAAAATATTAAGTGCAATAAACTGAAAAAAACAAACTACTGAACTAAGAAACAGCAGGAAGACAGATTCACTGAATGCAATACAAGTCATCATTGAATTCAACCTACCATAATTCCAAATAAACAATGTTGCATGTCACATAGGGAACCTGTTCCGGTTTAAAAAAATATGTACAACAGCAGAAACATATAAAAACCCTCTAAAGCAACTGTAGCAGCAACACCAACTTTAAATGATTTTCTACTATGATGTAATATTGTGAGCTATTTGTACTCTCTTCTTATGTTTATTTTTATTAAATTTAGTAACTTCATATTTAGATATAATTTCTGGATGTTTTGTTTTTCCTAGATATTTTTTATACTGGTATACAGACTGAACTACGCTTCATAGGCGAGGAGTCCAACAATCTTCTCACATATAGCCTTGTTATCACACAACTGCACAATGCGCCATACCGCCGATGCAAATATATTATCGGTATTGTTCATATATTTGCTTGAAGGTAGTCAAAAATACAATTTTTTCTTCAGACTTAATAGTATTATCATAGTGCTACCTCCTGATCATGGACCAAGGTTTGGCCAAAAAACTGTTTGAAGAAGGTGCATTTTTAATTCTTGTTGATATGCCGAAAGGTACAGAATTTGGAATGGATTGGAATTCTTGGATTACCGGACCCAAATTCAAAGGTGTTAAAATGATTCCCCCTGGCCTCCACTTCATTTTTTATAGTTCAAATGGCAAACACGGTGGCCATTCATCTCCAAGGTCTGGATTCTTCCATTTTTTCAAACAGAGAGAAATTTTTATTAGCCATTGGGATGTTAATAATGAGGAAATCCAATTCTCTCACAAGTCTGTTGATGAGATGAATTCACTCAGAGATAATCTGAAAAACTTGGATAAAAATTTGGCGCCTTATCCATATGACACCTTAGAAAAATGGGTGTCTCTGACAGACTGGATTAATAATGATGTTATGGTTAAACTTCAACCCGAAAACGGAAAAATTCAGTCTGTTCCCGAGTTAATTTCAGAAAGCAATGTTTCACCAAGTGGGAAAGAGATGTCGGAAGAGAGTGTCAAAGTGCCAAGATCAAGTGCAGTTGACGAGGATGGACTGCCCATACTAAAACCTAAACCTGGGACTGAGATAAAATTCTCAATGATACCTAAACAATGGTATCCCCCAAACGCAACTCCACATGAAATTTCAAAGCATAGTGTGGATTCATCATACATTTTAGGACAAATAATAAAAAACTCTTCCCAACCTGAAGACTTGCTTGGTGAACTGCAGTTTGCATTTATATGTTTTGTTTTAGGGCAGGTGCTTGATGCTTTTGAACAATGGAAATCCCTTGTAAATGTCTTATGTTCTTGTGATGACTTGCTGAAAGAACATCAAAAATTGTACGGAAGTTTACTTACAGTATTTTATCATCAACTCAATGAAATACCAAAGGATTTTTTTGTTGATGTTGTTAGCTCTAATAACTTTTTAGTTTCAACTTTAACTATACTTTTTAGTAATCTGCAAACTGAGGGAATTGATGCAAGTCTACAAAAACGTGGCAAACAGTTTCAAAAATATTTGACTAAAAAATTTAAGTGGAATTTCAAAAGTGAGCCAGATGATTGGGCGCCTGTGGTTGTAGAAATATAAGAATATAATTATGTTGATGGATTTCAACTGAAATTACACTTTTTTCATATAAATGGGTCATAAAATTTTGTTTAAATTTAAGATTTTAAAGTAGCTCAATCGGGATCAAAAATTACATAGTGAGTCAGGTCGATTCAAAACAAACCTATTTCATAAAATAAAATACTATTGTTAAACAAAATATTTGCTACAATTTGTAAATATGTTTATACTGAATGATTCCACATCGTAAGGAAAGCTAGGAATGGAGGAGCAAACTGGCTACAAAATTGTAATGCCCCCATCTCTTCCTGCCCTCGTTGACATTGCGGCAATTAAAAATTGAAACTCAGTGATGCATCTGTTGTATCACACTTACAAATTAAAATAGTCTGTGATGTTTCATGTCATTTTTCTTATATCATGCTTAATTCTCCATTCAAAATAATTGGATATTTCACCTACAAACAGCTTCCAAGCAAAAACATTATTTTTCTTCAATTTTTGCCATCTAGATATACTAATTGATATAGACTACTACACTAATTGTGGAGAAAATAAAATGTTTTATTGAATTCAAAATGTAAGTAAAGGAACATTTTTAGAGTAACTATGAGTCTTGCTCTGAGACCAAGATTGTGGACCAGGCGTTTTTTTTTCTGCCATCGCAACTACAATGTGGCTGTAGAAGGAGAATTAAACAACGATAAGTTGATGGAAGAACAGCTTGTAAATGATTTATTTGGAGGTACAGGAGGTTCAAAGAAAATTCCTGATAAACTCGAGAACACTTCGACACTTTTGTTTCCTGGGCAAGGAAGTCAGTATGTTGGAATGGTGAAAAATCTTTTCAAATATCAAAATGTCAAAGATATGTTTGATGTTGCTTCGGAAATTTTGGGATTCAAATTATTAGACCTGTGCATCCATGGTCCTAAAAATCAGTTGGATAAAACCATCTACTGCCAACCTGCTGTTGTTGTTACCTCACTTGCGGGTGTTGAAAAGCTTCAAGCTGAAACACCAGAAGTTTTAGAAAATTGCATGGCAGTGGCAGGATATAGTGTTGGAGAATATGCCGCCCTCGTGTTTTCCGGAGCTCTGACTTTCGAAGATGCCATCAGCTTAGTGAAAATCAGAGCACTTGAGATGCAAAAGGCATCTGATGACACTGGTGGGGGAATGATTTCTTTGGTTGGTGGTGCAAAAACTAAGTTCAACTTGGCATGTACTGATGCAGTGGAGTATTGTCATGAAAAGCTAGGCATGGAAAGAGTTCTTTGCAGGGTTTCTGGTTATTTGGCACCAAATATAAGAACTGTAGCTGGTCACCTTGCTGCGCTTGAATATCTATCATCACAAAAGCAAAATTATCACATCAGGAGGGTTCAGATTCTTCCAGTGTCTGGAGCATTTCATACTGCTTTAATGCGACCTGCAGTTAAGAAAATGAAGCATGCACTGAAAGCTATTGAAGTAAAAGAACCCATGGTGACGGTTTATGGCAATATAGATGGCAAACCATATAAGGACTCGGCTGACATTGTCGAAAAACTTCCAGAGCAAATTATAAGACCAGTTTTGTGGGAGCAGACAGTTCATGCCATGTATGCACAGTATAAAAATAAAGCACATCACACTTATGAATTGGGTCCGAACCACAAGCTTGGGGTATTATTGAAACACTGCAATGGTAAAGCATGGAAGAATTATTTACCTGTTGACAATAGAGATAACAGGACTGCTGATAATGAAAATGGTTGATTTTATGTCATGATGTTAGTGAATTCAGCATCTGGATGAATCTGATGTTATTCATTGAAGCATGGCATATCTGAAATAGCCTGATGTTTGACTAATTCATATATCGGTGGAAGTAGCGAACTGGGACTACATCGAAATGATCGAAGTATCTTATTTTCACCAGAAAAATGGGCATTGTGCAGCATGTCTCTGCTTACTGCCTACTGTAATGAATGAATAAATATATACTGGTATTCTTCCTACTTGTCATCATTTTTTACAGAATTCTGTCATTTCCTATCAAAGCTATAAATCTTTAAGTTTGATTCAGACAAACTATTGTGAGTTCAGATTCGCATTATCTTGACGACTTCCTCAAAAGATAGTATGTTTATCCTCAAGGAGAAAAAACGGATAAGAGAACTGAATCTTCATTTTCAATAATACCATTACTTCGGCAAGAGGTGCATTGGCGATAATTTATAGCTAATTTTATGACAACTATTAACAGTGTGCAACTTTTTATTTTGTACTTAAGATGAACCGATACCCGCGAAAAAATACCGATACCGATACGCCGATATTTTAAAGAGCCGATGTTTCCGATACTATGTAATTATTAATTGTTACCCTCAGCGTGCAGGGCGGATGGGCTAAAACAATAGTATCTGAGAATTATTCATAGTGAACATTATTTCAGATTGAAAACGTGATAGTAGGGAATTGATGTTTGGAATCCAGATGCGTTAATTGATTCAGATGCATTGTGCACCGACGCTAGTAATCTCGGTGTTCAATTGGGAAACTCGTACAGTTTGGCTACTGTGGGTGGTGAAATATATGTTTACTTATCCTATCGAACTGATACATTGTACATTATAAATGTCAATATAAAAAATGGCTGATAAATAGCTAAAAACAGGTCAGAATCCTGTTCCCGTTTCTACTCACGAGGATGGCTCGTAGATAGCGAGGCCAATACCACGAACACGATCCTTCCGAGCAAAAAATAATTTTCAGATCATATTGATAAGATGGATTTATCGGTCCACATCTGGCCGATATTGATACCTGTACATCTCCATTCTGTGCATGGCGACTGTTGTATGATTTTCAGCGGTTTTATGATGGATTCAACCTGGGCAATCGTAAATGATCGTGTGATAAATTCACAGTGAAATATATTCTACATTAGAACATCTTTTGCTCCGAGCAAGGTCTGACGCACCCGACTAAACGTTGAAAGCAGTTTTTTTTCTGTTGGTTAAGCTTAAACGACCAATCTTTTTGTTCATAGGTAGTTGTGGGTAAAGTCTTTGTTTTAGCCTAATCGCTATTCTCGGGAGATGTAAAACTCAATTTTAAAAACAATGCTTTATTGCAGTATGACCCCAACATGGATGATGAAGATATCACGTTTCTCATTTTAAATTTGATGTTGATAGCATCTGGTGAAGTTCTAGAATTGAGCACAAAGTTGATTTTTTTCACTAGTCATATGCGTATTAAGTTCCTTCAAGCAGTATTCGTTGACGGAGCTTTAAGAGATGTGTTGTACAAAATGTACTTGTGTCGTCCACAGAAAAAGTAATAACCTTCACGTGTCATATATATGCGTATTAAGTTCCTTCAAGAAGTCGGCACACCTTGCTTTTGGAGATGCGGGGTTCAAGTGATCTTAAATATATATTGTACAAAGTGTACTTATTCCGTCCACAGAAAAAGCAATAATAAACTTGAGATCATTTCCTCTTCTAATCGGAAAAGAAAATAGAAGCAATATTCAAGTCCTTTGCTTTTCAAAAAATTACTGTAAAAAAACCCCGGCTATCAAGAGCTGTGTCTAGTACACTTTTAAAAATTGTTATAGTAGTGGAACTTATTTTGAGATCAAGTACACCGCAGAACAATTATTCCGTGTCGAGAACCGATCGTATTTTTTACGTCGCAATCTGTTTCAAAATATTAATAATTGTTACTTATCGATCTTAAGATCGGGAAGTTTTTTGTATGTCTGTTAGATGAACGCGATATCTCAAGAAGGCGAGGTTGAATCTGCTCCAAATTTTGCATGTGCATTCATCATATCTCGGACCAGAAACCTATTGATTTTGGATGGAATATGTCGTATAATTAGCGTTATTAATAGAGGTAATTAATTAGTGATAGGACACGCGGTGTCACTTTATGGTCATGATTCGAAACCGCAGTTTCGATCGATAAGTCTTCGGTCTCCGACCGATATTCTCGTTTATTCATTGGTCACAATTAATCTGAGAATTTAATTTCAACAAACAAGTTTAGTTCCAATTTTTTAATCAATATGACAGCCTTGAAACGATTGAGTAAAACAAATAATTGATGACCTATTATGAAATCAGGAGAGCAAACAATTCGTTAGATAAGCTTTTTCCAAAATAAAATGGTACACGTTCACTCACCGAAAATTAATTCACACGCACCCACACAACCATAGAGATATTATAAAGTAAGAAAAACGCAATAAACTTAAAACGAGAATATCGGTTGGAAACCGATGACTTATCGATCGATAGTTAGGGGATCTCCCAAAACAGAAACTGCAGTTTCGATTCATCCGCTCTTGTAACTTGCGCACTGCGCATCGCACACACACACTCGGCGGGTTTCAAAATTCTCTCGCTTTACAAAAATCTAGATCACTATATCCATAATTGATTGATAACTCGCTAATTATACGACATAATTCGCCCAAAATCAATAGGCTCCTGGTCCGAGATAAAATGAATGCACATGCAAAATCTGGAGCAGATTCAATCTCGCTTTCGTGAGATATCGCGTGCATCTAACAGACACACACACAGACAGACATACAGACAAATACCTATCAATATACTTACCGATCTTAAGATCGATAAGTAATAATTTACATAGTAAATAGAAATTACTTATAAAATTACACCATATAAATAATTTTGTAATGGTTGGGGTGGGCTAGGCTAGACCACTAATGAAAATGCTTCAAATTTCATCATATCTTTGGGTATATTTAGCGATTTGAAGTAATAGTCTATAACAGTGGTTCTCAAACTTTTTTAGTCCCAGAGCCGCATTTCAAACCTCAAAGTTATGAAGAGCCGCAGCCCGCACACAAACAACGCAAGGTAAAATAGAAACAAACCTTAAGCGCGTATTTAAAATACCAAGTCATCGTAACAACAACACACGTAACAACTAGGACTGGGAAAAATATTCGAATATTAAAATATTTGAATGGCATTTTACTATTCGAATATCCGGTACCACGTGACCTGCGCCGCTCTGCTTGGACACCGAACTCGCGCGTCTCCAACTCAATCGTGAATTGTGCAAGATTTCCCCACGGCACTTGCTATCTGAAAAAAGCGACAAATTTGAAAAGTCGTTGTCTTTGGGTTATGGTGTAATATGCTATCTTTGCACTTAACGTATCGTTTCAATTCCATATTTTGCAAAAAAAAACGTATCGACCGTTCCGTAAATTTAGAAACGTCAAACCAGATAAAGTATTTAAAATAGATTTCCCAGATTTTTAACTCCGCATGCTTTGTGACATGTCATTAGCCATTTCTTGCATTACCGAACATAAAATTGATTAAAATTAAATGTTAAAATGACTTTTCGGCGTTTCATTGTGATTAAGTCGATTTTAGGTCGTTAGAGAACTCTAGGTATATAAATAGCATGAATTTAAAAATAACACGGGCACCATAGAAAAGTATGAGAAACCTAATTATCATTTTAATAAATATCTGCATCTCTGTTACCGTTCACTTTTTTGCAAGCGGTGATAAGGAAGATCAAATCCAAGGCAGAGGATGAAACTTGAAATAAAATTAATTTGGTTTTGAAACCAGCTCCAAATGTATTCAACAGCTGTCGCTGATGTGAACGCAAGGGTATACTAAATACTAAAACAATCATTGAGTTATTTGATTTATACATAATATTCGGAAATGAATATTAAATGAAAAACTGAAAATCCCCGAAAGCCAGCCAATGATTACAGCCATGTCTAAAGTGAAGTGAAAAGTGTCCGAGTGGCCGCGAAAACGCTTACTGTTGCGTCACTATTGCATCTTGTTGATTAGTCTACGCTACGCAAATAAACACGGGGGAATCCATTCGACTGACTAATAGACTTCCGCATTTTGATTTCAAGTCAATGATTAGTTTTCGATGAAAAATTTTCTTTGAAAGTAATTAATTTTTAAAGGTTGTTGAGAGCCGCGTCCGCATTCACTCACTCTTTCAATTTCTTTGCCATTGAGCCATGGATATTTTGAGCAACTCGCAATTTCATGTCTGCTTAAAAGCCATAGATGGAATAAAACAAATTTGGCTTTCACGACAGCTTTCAATTTCAGGAGAGTGTCTAATTCAGGTGTTTGTATAGATTTCATCATTAAAAATGTGTTCTAATTTGGCATCGAGCACTATTTGTTTTCTCACAGAACTAGGACAATTATAGGTAAAATTATAAAACTATTTTAACAAGCAAATGACGTAATTTTTTGTATCTGAAAACAACAAGAGAGCAATGCTCAAATATATGGACACGAAAGCCAAAACGACGTAGTACGGGTATGTAATCTGTCATCGTAGAATACAGATAGCCTAACCACCACCGAGTGGCGCACAATTTTTTATTTTGATGACGTCATTTCACACAATAGAAGCGATCCCACAGAAATTTTGGAAATAAATAAAAGTAATATCCTTCTAAGAACAAATGTAATCCATTACCAGTGAAAAAATCAAAGCAATTGGTACTGTAATTGAATGTAAAAGCGATTTTTTTCGCAACAACAATAAGAAGAAAAGGTTACCACCACCGAAAACAACAACAGAACGAATAGGTACGCTTCGTTTCAATAAGTCTGATCTCACCTACTTACATACACATTGAGTCACGCTGAAATAACTATGACAAATGTTAAATGAGTGGAAATACTGTAAAAATTTAACACATAGTAACTCAAACGACTGAAATCATAACAATTCAAGAATTTGGTAAGCATGAGTAAATTTATAGCACCATAATTACTATCAGTATTTGGAAATGATGAATCAAGAATGTCGTGTTTTTTTGCTGTAATGAGCGACATTCTTCTTTATAAAACCATCGGATGCACTCGTTTCTTTTTCTGGCGATTCTCTTGGATCCCACATGGTGGGCCCTTCGATTTATATGCTCGTTAGCGTGATCGTGTTGCAGATTGCAGCAGTAGTAAAGAGGCACCGCAGGCATATAACTGTCATACTGACATTCACCATTATTAAGCTATACCTGTTACTAAATACAGGATATGTTGTGTTTACATGAAAAAATTCCCTTTATCTGATCTCCTTTGTTTATTATTATTTTAGAAGCAAACTGTATATTTATATATTTTTAGCAAATCAAAATTTTAGGGGGCGGGCAGGTTTACTACTTACAGGAGGGCGGTGTATGGTGTGTGGGATTCCGTTCTTAAAATGTGAAATCAGCGAGCCCATTCGTGTTTCGGACCAATGCTTCTCAACCTTCTTGAGTAAAACAAAATATCTGTCTAAATAAAACTATCAAATTACGGAAAGTGCGTGCTTTCCAATCAGTTTAATATTTAACAAGGCAAGTATAGTACTATGTGCTCTCGAACTAGGATGTTCGCCGTTATGGCGTCACAAAATGAACGAAACGTCCAGTCGTTCAGGGTTTGACGCGGACATGGAACGTGTTCATTTTTAGTGGATACAAAAGAGAACCTTTTCCTAAGTTGCAACCCATCACTGCTGTTAATGTATCCAAGTCAGTTGAATTATTGTACAACAATCATTATATCACAATACATTCATAAATGTTTCTTACTTCATATTGGAGTTTTGCGTCAAACGTATTTTAGACTAATTTCGGTATGTAAGTTCGACCTAATTTTGCCGATTCAACTGTTTTGATTTCCTACCTTCTCCTACTTTGTTCGACTGTATGACTTTGGTAATATGTACAGAATAATTCCTGTAAACTTGTTCAACAGAATAAATATGAAGGAATCCGTGCTACTTTTGATTGTGATCTCACTTGATATTCATCACATACCCAGTGGCCCCAATTAATCTCATGGAACGCAGTTCTTAACCCTAGACAAAATTACTAATATCACTACATTTTATTACATTGTATGTTTTGAGTATTTTTTCGTTTAGTATTGTGTGATGGTAATGAATTCCGTACATGCAGTTATGCGTTGGTGATGCTCGGGATTAAATTGTATTGGAATTCAAATGTTTTTCAGAGTTTAGGGAATTTTTTTATGAAACTACAACAGTTTTTAAAAAACAGTTTAAAAACAGTGTAAAACGAATTAGGGAAAGTTCTGAATATGACTTTTTCACATGTTGATATACTTATTTAAACTCCATGAGCTCTGTGTGAACACCAATACCTCTGAAAGCAATGACATTTACTTTCTCCAACTTTTATTACTTATTGAAACCAATAATGCTAGATGGTTTCCATTTGCTCTTGCACATTTCCAGGAATAGCAAGTAGGAACGATTTTGGCTTTCAATCTGAAATAATAAACAGGAGGGCGGTGTATGGTTTGTGGGATTCCGTTCTTAAAATGTGAAATCAGCGAGCCCATTCGTGTTTCGGACCAATGCTTCTCAACCTTCTTGAGTAAAACAAAATATCTGTCTAAATAAAACTATCAAATTACGGAAAGTGCGTGCTTTCCAATCAGTTTAATATTTAACAAGGCAAGTATAGTACTATGTGCTCTCGAACTAGGATGTTCGCCGTTATGGCGTCACAAAATGAACGAAACGTCCAGTCGTTCAGGGTTTGACGCGGACATGGAACGTGTTCATTTTTAGTGGATACAAAAGAGAACCTTTTCCTAAGTTGCAACCCATCACTGCTGTTAATGTATCCAAGTCAGTTGAATTATTGTACAACAATCATTATATCACAATACATTCATAAATGTTTCTTACTTCATATTGGAGTTTTGCGTCAAACGTATTTTAGACTAATTTCGGTATGTAAGTTCGACCTAATTTTGCCGATTCAACTGTTTTGATTTCCTACCTTCTCCTACTTTGTTCGACTGTATGACTTTGGTAATATGTACAGAATAATTCCTGTAAACTTGTTCAACAGAATAAATATGAAGGAATCCGTGCTACTTTTGATTGTGATCTCACTTGATATTCATCGCATACGCAGTGGCCCCAATTAATCTCATGGAACGCAGTTCTTAACCCTAGACAAAATTACTAATATCACTACATTTTATTACATTGTATGTTTTGAGTATTTTTTCGTTTAGTATTGTGTGATGGTAATGAATTCCGTACATGCAGTTATGCGTTGGTGATGCTCGGGATTAAATTGTATTGGAATTCAAATGTTTTTCAGAGTTTAGGGAATTTTTTTATGAAACTACAACAGTTTTTAAAAAACAGTTCAAAAACAGTGTAAAACGAATTAGGGAAAGTTCTGAATATGACTTTTTCACATGTTGATATACTTATTTAAACTCCATGAGCTCTGTGTGAACACCAATACCTCTGAAAGCAATGACATTTACTTTCTCCAACTTTTATTACTTATTGAAACCAATAATGCTAGATGGTTTCCATTTGCTCTTGCACATTTCCAGGAATAGCAAGTAGGAACGATTTTGGCTTTCAATCTGAAATATTTCTCACGAAATCCAAACCAAGCGAATAACAAACTCAGGAAGTTGTTCACATTAACAATCTGATTGAAATCGAAAAAGTTCTTCGGAATGAATTCTAGTTTATAAATCCTTTATTGCACAGTTTGCTCATATTTTTCGATTGCGGCAACCATTGCCGTGTCGAAGTAGAAGGAATATGGGTTCAATTTATCTCGGCGTCTTCACTGCAGTGCTATTATTACTTCAAACAAACGTAGCTCATGGGTAAGTGCATTTTTATTAAATTAGCATGAATGTCAAATAAATCTCACCTTAGGACTATAATCTTGGTTATAGGACGATCGCTTATAATTGATGAGGATGCAACCTCGATAGATAAATCAGCTTGGTCAATTAGAAAAATTGGCAAAACCCGTATGCGTGAATATGGATGGTGACGAGATATACGTACAACCAAAAATAAGCGCATACAGCCAGCCGTACATATACAGCTAATCAATTTTATGCATGTTTGTCCGTGTATTTGATATCAAAGCGGTACTGAATTAGCGAAGGATTTTGATTAATCTCGTGGTTAAGGAATGTTGATGTAGAAAAGAATTCCTACACATTCACATTGTAGGCCTACTGCGGTCCCGAGCAGTGTTCCCTCTAGGTCTAAGAGATTGCTTAGTTGCACGGAATAGAAGGCTATGTGAGCTCAAAAAAAGGTCTGCGCGGAAAAATAGAAAAGTACAAAACATTTTAAACGAACACAGAATTGTCAATACTTATGAAGTGCGCGGCAAAATGAAAGTACTGAGCGGGGATTCTCGGCCAGCTGCGCGGCCGCACAGCTTGTAGAGGGAACGTTGGACTCCCGAGGCATTGCTTATTCAAGAAGCGTGTCTGAATGTTGAATTTTAAAATTAAAAAAAAAATTAACTGAAAACAGTTTACAAATTTAATAACGCTCTCTAACAGGCTAACAGCACGCTTATAATACTGTCATTTAATAACTTCAAATATATATACAAAACAAAGTATAGTTTACCACAATCGTATTGAAGTTATTTCAATTGTGACCAGTGACCACACTATGTCGAATATCACCTTAGGTATGCAGTAACGTCATGACAATTTGGCCATTTGACTCACGAATCCTGGGACTAGGTGTGATTAAGGCGACCCCGAAATGCTTCATGTGCATTTAGTCATCTTTTCGAGATTTCAACTGTGAATTTCCCCTGAAGTTTGACGGCCCCGTCGCTTGTTGTCGTGGTAAAATTTACATTGTAGCTTGTAGACCTTTGAAAATTCTATGACATTAAACATGGCTCGCTCTAAATTCAGTGCTTTAGTTTCTCGTCTTGTTGAGTGTCAGTGGCGGAAATATCTCTTTCAAAACATCGATACAATTAGTACCTGTGACTAATTTCTTCAGCATGCCTCATTCATGTTAGCCTATACCTAATTTTAAATTTCCAGATGTAAAATTATTTTCATTAAGTTGTAGTGCTATTGATTTATGAGCAAAAAACAATTACTATTTATTGTTTTGTTTTTGTTTAATATCATCAGGCAAACTTACTCCATCGTCCATCCGAAACTACTGCGAATTGATACGAATGAAAACTTCATCATAAATCTTCATGGTTACGGGAATGCTCTAGTAGATGTTTATGCCTCGCTCAGGGTAGAGTTTAATTCTTTTTAAATCGAAATCTATTATGTTTTAGTAGTTTTCTGCATACCGGTATTCACTTAATCAAGCATACATTTCTGTAAACAATATTGAGACGAGTCCGTAATAATTAGTAATATCACGCGCTGGTTCTGATTGAGAACTCGATCGAATTACAGTATAAATAGTGAAATATTCACCATATTTCAAATAATTTATTCTATAATTTCAGGATTATCCGAGAGGGCAGGAATTTATTAACCGTATAAATCTTCAAGGGAAAAGTGCCGGAAAACCGATCAGTTTTGCACTCAATGTAAGTTAGAATCTTACGGTTAATATGATATAACAAAACTAGCTTCAGCTACTGCATCGGATTCCTTACCAAATGATATCATAAATTTCTGCTGTCTTTTTAGTAATCATTTAAAGTCAGGTAATCTGTGTTTTCTTACAGCTGATTTACGAGGGTAGTCTTATACGAAGTTTTTGTGATCGTTTCATGGTGCCGTTTAATATGGCTGACTTTATTCTGGCCTAGCAGCAGCTTTTGAGAGATTAAGCACAAAGGTTTATTTTCTTGATTAGCGAATTCGTATCCTTTTTCCCATTGTGACTTGACAACTCTGTTCTCATCTTCGTATTTTCGCTTTTTACTTGAGGTCATATCGCACTCTAACTGAGATTAACCGCAATCAAGCTGCAATGCCGCCAACGCAGCAAGTTACATTTGACAATTGTGACGTACGATTTGTCGCTTGACGGATATAAAATTCCCCGCCACCACGATTTTCATACTACTACGTTCATACTACATATGTTCATACTACCACCGTTGTTATAGGACTATTTGTGTATAATGCCATTTATCATCGGTGGAATAGTGTCACGACATTTTTCAAGTCTTGAAATATTCAAACTATATGTCGCAAACATTCATAACACAGGTACCAAGAGCTAAATTAGCTTCTGAAACAATTGCAAACAAGAGAGTCGAATTGCATGTTCGTATCACCATTCCGAATCATCCTCAAATTAACAAGAAAAAACTCATTTATTTGACCGGAGAAAGTGATTACATATTTGTGCAGACGGATAGACCAATTTATAAGTAAGTTGGGTTTTCTATTGGCCTAATTTTACTTTGCGGCATTAACGATTTATTCTTTTTAAATGTTTCTAAAATAACTAATTATTGTGGCCAAAAGTATGAGTGGCGCCCTAAAGTTTTGACCCCCCTCATTTGCATTCTGAAACGGTTTTATCACCCGTGACTGTGCGAAAAAATCTGTTTATACAATTTGAACAATCTATAATACATTTCGAACATGTTATAGTGTGTGCATAAATACGTGTAATAATAATATTAAATAAGTAACGAATGTTAGTAACTACGCGTAGGCACAATTTAGAATTTAATTCCCCAAAACGATAAAGTTGTGGAATGCTGAGCTATACCTTCCTCCGATTTAATGGGTTCGATATTTCACGAAATATACTTTCGTGAGTTAAAATATATATATAAGATGGAAAACGACAATGTATGGACTTGGTAATTCAAAAAGATATTACAGATCAGCGGCGTTACTCAAATGTTCAACATTCAAACAAACACAAAATAGACAAGTTCCTAATATGGATATGCCACTATGATTGCCACTTATTAATATTCATTTTCCAGACCAGGCGAGAATGTTAGAATCCGGGTCATTCCTCTAAATTCAGAGATGCTTCCATTACGTCAAAATTTAATGGGAGGAGTTGAAAATATAGAAGTGTCTGTTCGGGTTCGTTCATTTTTAATATGATAATGAAAAAAGTTTGCTACACGTTCTCTACTCCCGATATCACCAAATGACTGGAACAGTCTCCTTTCGTCTTTTTTAAGAATTACATATTGAAATCAATTGGTATTAGTTGCGGAGAAAAAAGAACAAAAACAATAATCACAACAACAAAAAGATTATAAACAACAATTTAAAAAATGATCTATAGGTCCATTGCGTTTCCGATAATAAGCTTCAATTGAAGATTGTCTCAATTGTGTGTAAAAAATTATTGAGACTTTTTCTTGGCGATTAGAAACTATAATTATGGGTTTTTTCGCACGGGGTTCCAAAACAACAAATTGTGGAGAAATATTGTTAAATATTCTAAAATGGACATTGTTGATTTGATTGTGATGCACAAATCCTACAGATTGTTTTTCAAGATCGCTCTGCGACCCCTGGTAATGATATGATAACTTTGTTTTTTCATAAGTACAGGAAAGAGATACGAGATTACAATAGTTGCGCATGTTTTCCCCAAACACCGAGCAGTCATTTGATAAAGTGTTTTATAAACTGAATTAAGAAGCACTGCTTTCTGCTGCCATCTATCTATACACACAAATTCTTTTGCAAATATTCAATAATTCTTAACCCAAAATGGCCCCGATGTACTTGTTATTTTTTCGTTTAAATGAGACCTGGCGTGAATGCTTGTTTAAGCGCATTTTCCAAAATTCATTTTCAACCGGGACACATACCCAAACACTGACCATATTTTCAAAAGCACGTACGGCTAAGACTACTATTTATGAATTGCAATTTATACTTTTATGTTGTGTGTATTCGCTTGCTTTGCAGACTAAAGAAGGTGTCGGTATATGGAAGGAATATAGTAACTTCAGAAGTGATGCATTTGTGGCATCGACATATAAAATTCCAACTGATCCACCTTTGGGATCTTATTATGTAGTTGCCAAAGTTAATAACAGCGTGAGTATTTTGAAAATTCAACAAGACTAACAATGATGCTTACTCAGGTCTATGAATATTTTTCATTTACCAAACAAAAGTCGCTGAATCGAGACTACTTCTTGGTGTTTACAATGACTAAATCGCGAAATACTCACAAGTGTTTGTAATCAAGTCGTGATTATAGTATTGTTTTAATTCTGAAATTCTACCAATGAAACACTGCACGCTATGAGGAAAATATAACCTAAATTGCAAAATACTGACCAGCGTTTGAGCTATATTTCGAGGCTATTGTTCTATAATCTACATCGACATTTGAAACTTTCCATATCTAATGTAATATCTTGTTTTCAGCTCCATACATCAGAAGGTTCAGCTGAATTCAAAGTTGACAAATACGGTTGGTATGGATATGAAACACCGATATATATGAATATAATATCAAAAATTATACCTTTACCTTTTTACATTTTATATATTTGATGATGGTGACTGGAAGTTTCACTTCGAATTCATGTATCAATACACATATAGGTTTGGTAATAGTGATCCCCAAACAAAAAAAAACTTGTTTTTTAGCCATTTTTTCTTAGTAAAAAAATAGTTAAGGAGTTACCTTATAAATGAAAATAATGAGGAGGAAATATTTGTCAAGTGTAAATTTGATTAAACTTTCTTCTTTCAGTGCTACCAATGTATAAGGTGACAATAGACCTTGAACAAAGTTATGTCAGGCCAAACGGCAAAATTAAAGCAACAATAAAAGCAATGTATAGTTATGGTGAGCCTGTTGTGGGATTGTACGCGTTCTCTGCCAGTGTCGTTATTCCAGGGAGGCAGCCTGAGGAGATATACAAAAGGCCATCGAGTTATCGAAAACGAGTGAGTATATCTTACAAGAAATATGCTTAGCTATTATTAGAAACGCCAGTCGGTGCAATTTGCGTTACGTCCGCATACCGCGTAGGCAACGATTGCCTTTCAAATAGTAATTTTGTCAAATGTAGGGGCATCATATATATATATTACATTATTTACATTACAAACGTTCACATTTTTAAACTTCGTTAAAAAACTTATTATTTCATTTTCTTCATTGTTGTTGGCGCATATAAGACTCGTAAACTTCAGCCTTGATTCAGTCGATAAGCCTTGAGTGATTTTTTTTCAACAGCCCAAAGTATTACTAAATGGAGAAGCAGAAATTACAATTCCGGTTACAATTCCAGCTACACTTCCAGATATGACCTGGGAGAATTTAATAGCGGCAAAGGCGTCTGTTTCAGTCACTGTTTCTGTTATGGGTAAGTCAGATTGTGCGTGAAAATATCTACAAATAAAAAAAAAAGATTTTATTTGTGCTGATGACATTCACCATTTTTCAGAGCGATGTAACGGGATATCAAACTTTCAGTATGCTATGGACTTAAGCGTTTTCATGTTTATAAATATGTTTTTAGTATTCTGTCACAGGTGCTCACTATATTCAACAGCCAACGATATGATCTTCCTTTTGTGTATTATCGTATGATCTTGAAGGAATGCACACAGAATTTACTGTCATTAATCGAATCTATAAATTTGCGATGTCGTTAATTTGTGGAGGGAATTCAATAGATCTCGTTAAAAAGTGAGAATGGATAGAAGGGCTCACTGCGAGAGAAATTATTGCTTTCAATCTTCAATGTAGGTAGAGGCCCGGATATCTAATCCACTCATGCAAGTCGACAATGAAAATTTTAATTGCAAAGAATCCACTTCCCGTAACGATCCAGAAAAATTAGCTTTCAGCGCTACTTATATTCGCAAATACGGGAAATTATATTTTACAGGTAAAGCCGAACAAACTTTTGAATCAGCTCAAAAAGATGGTATATTGATCACAAAGACACCATATCTTATTGATATGTCGCGAACGCCAAAATATTATGTTGGAGGATTGGAGCAAGATATCAATGTAACTTATGCTATTTGTTAGAATAGCTGTTTATCCAATATTTCAAACACAATCAATCAGTGTCGTCGAATAACATGCATTTATATATTTATGGCTTTATTTGTGTTTCTCTTTCTCGCGTTGACATACCATGCTGTTTTGAACTAAGCTACCTGTAAATTGGTGCTGCTTTCAAAAATATGAATGTAACTTACCTCCTCCTTCATAAAAATCTAATATGTTAAGTTACAACATAAATCTCTCTATGTTTCGCAGGTCATTGTGCGAGATATTGTCACAAAAAAACCTGTTCCGGGTGTTCGTGTTGTATTGGGTGAGCTAATAAATTAATATAATGAATTGCTTTATGATTTTTTAACTACTACTCGGTCTAGAATCAGGAATCACATTTGACTAATAAGATATGGAGAAAAAAACGAACTTTTTTTTTACGAAATCTGACTGAAAACAAGCAATAATATACCAGTTTGACGTTTGGATTTTTGAAATTCTTCGAGACATATTACTAGTTTCTTCAATTGATAATTCGAGACAGATTTAGTCATGGGATTCGGCAAAATCACGCAAAGCTATTATAATCTCATATTTATATATTTGTAGGGAGTGGACAACGTGGAAATACCGATGATAAAGGAACTGTGCAGATACCAATATTCACACCTACTTCAGGAAATCAGATTTCTGTAACAGTATGTCACTTTTTTACAGCAAATCGAGTATTATCATCCTTTGTAGGATATAGAATTCCATCTAGCATTCTTGACAGACGAGGAAAAATAACCCGTTCCACACTAAACTACAGTTTCAATTAGCTACAGTTCACACTTCTTCCACAATCCCACAATACTACTCTAAACTGCTGGAAAAGTCATGCAAAACACTGCGCATAAAATATCCTTTTATAAAGATGTTACCAATGGTATTCCTTAAGTATCTGCAGAATGTCTGAGTTCACATTATCTGACAATATTCACCAAAGGGTAAATTAACATGTTTACAAATGTGATGACCACTAAATTGTCTTTAATTGGATTTATTATTGTCATAAATCTAAGGTTAGAACCGATGACAGTCAAATTGACAATGATGATCAGGCGCAAAAAATTTTTACTCTGAATAGACATCAATCTGGCGCGGGATACTTACGATTGAGTGCCGATAGGTATTATTATTATTTATTTTTATTTATATTTAATATTATATTTATAGTTAGTAGCAATGAGCTATGCTCAAATATACGAACGAGAAGGTCAGGGGACTCTCCACTGTACCAGAAATAGGCGCCTGAATATACTGAAATTTGTCATTCGATTAAAAGCATCAAATCATATTCACATCACAAGGCAATCATGTCCGATAACTATTTTGCTCGCATATACTAAGACTGCTATACGCCCAGTTGGTATTATGTTGTACTTAGATACCTGCTGTATCAAAGTAGATATATACGTGCTGTAAATAAGTGCTTTTGTGTGTGTTTATTAGACATACAATTCTAATCGCCCGCATTCAAATATTCCAATAATAAAATAACTCCAAAAACACTTTATTCAGTAAAATTATATGCTTATCCATTTATTTTTCAGTCATGCTACAGTGGGTCAAAACTTGTATGTCAAATTCCGCGCAAGGGGAGCCAACCCAACAGAGATTTTTTATTTGGTACGGTGTAAACCCTTTAGTATTTAAACTTTATGTTTCCATTCCTATTGTTAAAGAGTGTTAAAAACTTTTCAGTAAAAAGAAAGTGAAAGGAATGAATCATTTATTATCTCTGCAAAAGTACATATCATTAGTGAGTTAAAAACTTGAAACGACAAAATATATCAGTATACGTTATACAATTATTAAGGATTGCTTTCTTGAAATCATAGGTTTTGTCAAAAGGAAGAATTATACTTTCCGGAAAGCATAGTCGCAGTTATTCAACAAGGGAATCAAGTCAAGCTATTTCTATTACAAGAAAAATGTCACCCAGTATTAGAGTGGTCGCTTACTTCATGAATAGCAACAATATGGTGTCCGATTCGCTGTCTGTTGACATCGATGACGTTTGTATAAGTGAAGTACGTATAAATAAACTAGCCAAGTTTGCCAACCTATAGAACTAATGTTGAAAGTAGTGTACGTGGGGCATATTGTAGAAAATCTCTTTGTGCAAACAAATCGGATTAACTTTTTCGGCATCATTAAACTTTGGTTATGAGTGATAATGTTGATTCTTTTAATTAAAAAAAATTCAAATTCCTTCACAATTGCAGGAATTGGCAATCTCGGTAGACAAAACAGAGATTGAACCGGGTCAAACAGTGGCTATCAGCTATAAAGGTAAGCCGACATTTAGAAATAAAGACGCAAAAATATTCGAGTTCCAATTATTCATAATCGTAATTTGAAGTAAATTGTATTTTGAAACTTGTCCTAAACATATGGCGTTTTTCATGAAGAATAATGAAGTACATTTCTCAATTTTCAAGGTGAGCCAAGGGCGATGATTGGGACCTCTGCTGTTGACAGATCTGCATATTATCTCAATGAGAAGGGGCGACTCAATCGCCATAAAATGTTCCATGAAATGGAATCTTTCGACATGGGTTGCTCCGTTGCTGGTGGAAGCAATGGACTAAATGTTTTCCAGGTCAGAGGATCGATATGATAACAAATTGCAGATGTTGTTGTTTTTTGTAGAAAATTGTGCAATTAGGTCTACTAACAACGAATAATATAACGTATATTGGATATAACGGATATCATTGTTTTATCAAAATAAATTTGAGACTTCAAACATTAACTCAACTTGCAATGTGTGCGCGTATAGTATTATTTTTGTGACCTTTTTAAACTGCGAAAGAGTGGTCTGTTGCACCCGGAGTTTAACAAGAGTAGCCAGCCTATGATTGAAATAACAACACAAACAGTTCAAACAGAATTAACAAATGTCTTGTGTGTTATCAAGTACCGATGTTGAAAAGAAATTATGTTATAGTATATACATCAAATTTTAGGAAGCAGGGTTGTCATTTGCATCATCATCGGTTTCTTCGCCAACACAGTCTAACATAACTTGTCCAGATAAAACCTCATCTAGAAAAAGAAAGAAGAGAGGTGCTTCAACAATACAGCAAGGCGAGTATCTTCATTATAGTTGAAAAAATATGTTACCTGTGTTTCTACGATGGAATTTAGTTTATCAATGGGCCAAAGCGGTCAATATGCGACTGGAAATCTGTTTACCATACAAATGTATGTTTCGAGAAAAATGTTTTCGAAGTAATGCGGAAGTTATTGACTTCAACAATATTACAATACTAAGAACTCTTAGAACTTGCAACTTTCAAATTGTGTATATTGTAATTGGCTGCTGTATTGTAATACTGTTAAAACTCATATGTAGGCTACACGTATTAAACTGTTTTGCTTTGAGTTAATATGCCATTGATTCTCCATTCAATGTGCAGTACAAACAATGACAAAGTAACATTATATTTGTATTTACACTGTAATCGAATAAGTTAGAAACACTTTGCATTCGTTGATTTCCCCTAATAAAAAAAGAACCATTCTCCTGGAATACAGGTTGTGTTTATTGTAGTTTCTCATTGGGTTATGAAACCCACAAATCACACGTTAACTTTATATATATATAATTATATAGTTACAAGTCATGATGAGCTATTGCGTCGAATATGTAAGCGTGATGGCCGACAGGAAAATCTTGCTAACGAAACATGTGAAGAGCGAAAACTGAGAATTTTGAAATTGGACTGGAATTCTTCGGACACAAATATATGCACTGGTGCATTCCTTGAAGGTTGTGAATTGGGAGAATTTATAAGGTTTGTTTTTCCCTAAATCCTATTTAGAGGATATTATTATTAAGTTTGTACTACCTATTATCTGATTTACGTCAACTCTGTCCCAAATTAAACACGCTTATTGATATGTAATTGCCAAACCCGTTTTCTTTCATGCTCAGTCCTGCTCCGGACGAAGTACCGAGTAATAAAATCCAGTAGATATTTTTTGCCTCTATGAGGCACTTCCGCCACTGTTTACTCTTCACAAAGGTAATAATATTATTGTACAAAAATAGACCGGGTTGGTTCAAAACCAGTATATAGCCTATGCATCATTTCTTAGACTTTGACTTCATCCTTTTCTAGAGATTTTCTTCAAAAAGGAAAGGAGACACAAAGGAGCAGTAGCTCTCATCAAGGCATTGACGTCGCTTCACAGCAAAGTCCGATGAGAAGGACTAACTTTGAAGAAGGATGGTTATGGAACACTGAAGTTCTTTCGTATGCGTATTTATTGAATTGAAATTAATGTAATTTAATAAATACGATGCATTTCAATGATTGATAACTCCCCGTTATGAGCACACAAATTACTAGCAGTTTTATTTTCGTTTACAAATATTGATGATAAATGCAATAATATTTAGATATATATATATGAGGTCAATGATTAGAAAATTGTTTCTCGTCATAAATTTCCGGTCTGTTCCTCAGGCTATCCACAATTTTTGTTATGTGAATGCTTTTGCAAATATTGTTCGTGTATTTTATATTGATATCATATGTTATTTACGTGACAGCGCAGCATAACGCGGTCTTTCTACATTTTATTTTTATCAGAGGTGGAGGAAAGTTTTCTCATACACAGCGACCACCTCACAGCATAACGACTTATGACATTGATGCCTTGTCTGTTCATAATACTGAAGGTGTGTATCCGTAGTTGATGAGAATAAGGAAATATAAAAAGACTTGAGAATGTAAAAAAACTTCTCAAAGCTTATTCAAAGTGCTTCGTGAATCTTTTAATAATAAAATATGCAAAATACTGGAAAGTGATTGTTGTGTCAATTAAATTACAAAATGTACAAACCTAAAGATCAATTGAGTACATGTTATCACTAGAAGAAATCCGAATGTCACACCACGAGGTAGATGAAATTAGCTGGCCATAAATTTGAGTGGATTGGACGTATCAAATGAATGTTATGTGTGGATTAAATTAATCACAACTAAGATCTCTATCACCCGAAAACCGTTGATTTTTTGTTCCAATCAAATTTCCAACATTCTTTATTTTTGCGTACACTGTTCTTCTTAACTTGTGTTTTTTTTTCATTTCCATGATATCCAAATCTGCTACGTAGCAACCTCTGTGAATGTGAATCAAAGTTCTCTTATTTATTCTCATGGTATATGGATGGAAATTAGCCATAAAAACGATCTTACCATAAATTTACTTTTACATAATATTATATTTTCAGGATTTTGTGTAGCAAAACCAGCTGAACTCAAAGTTTTCAAAGACTTTTTTGTGCAGCTTTATCTTCCTTATTCTGTCAAAATAATGGAACAAGTTCAAATCAGAGCTGCTTTTTTCAATTATCACCCAACAGAAGATAGAGAGGTAGCGCTTTTATTACTTAACAATTAATGAGTAGCAAAATACTGTTTTATATTAGGTTCTCGATCACAAATTCATGCTACATATACAGACATGTTATAATAACCACAACTTCTATCCATCTAGCGAATATGAAGCCAATACAACCCTTGGGTCAGTTGATTCAAATTGCCTCTCTTGCATGCAATAATGAAAAAACTTCAAGTTTTCTTCTTGACTTTTGGAGATATTCATTTTTGGTGATATTTTCTGGTCGCATTTAAACGACTGTTGTTATATTTTAGTATTATTTTGGAATAATTCTTTCTGCACCGAACAATTCAGTAAAACAGTCCGTACTCTCAATTCGTGAAGAATGATTAAAACAGTTTAAAGTAGGTAAAAGAAATTATTGGTCTGAGATTTTCATTCAACTGAACTATACAACAGAATACCGTAATAAAGTCTTTACCTTGCGGAGAAAAAATTTTTATTGCCAGAAATAAAATAACGGCGTAGTGATATAGTTTGAGCAATACACTGACGCAAAATTTTTTTAATTGGTTTCAGGTGGAATTGAGAATAAAAGGGGACAGGCATCTTTGTACCCAGTACACTGCAGGTAAGAGTTGCTCTTTCTGTTTTAAAATATTTGATCAATTCAATTTTCCAAACAATGTTAAAATGGACTTAACTTGCCTAGATTAATTTCTCCTTTTGATATGTTTGTCCACATGCCGTGAATTAAAATTAAATCAAAAATTTTATTTGCTTCGACGATGAGGAGGACATAAATAAACATAAAATAGGTGTTATGCTGGTAATTTCAGGAAATTTATAAAAGGTAGAAATGAAATAAGTCAATCGGTTACGCATATCCGAGCGAAACCCTAATTTCTATTTTATTCGGGAGGATGCGACATATCTAAACCTAACATTGTTGGCTATTTTATTATCTTTTTCACATTGTTACCTTGGTTTTAGGAACCTGGTCTGATGTTGCATCTCTAACTGTTGAAAAGCAATCCAGCAAGTCCATTGTGTTTTCTGCAATTCCACTATCCATTCCTGAGGAAGGATACACTGAAATAGAATTAGAAGTCCTACCAATGGATTTTATCAGAAGAAAATTAAAAATAGAGGTCAGGGTACATTATTAATATTTATCTCTTATCTTAATACACCCCATCGATTGCGAAGTAAGGCACTAGCAAGGAGTAAATTTCATGATTCGAATTTGTGAAATTAAAAGATCATACAATAATTTGATTCTTATCATCGTTGTAAATTGCTTATAATGAAATAGTGATGCAGCACTCCTGAACAACTCATAAGATTTCAATAATTACCGAGTTTAAAGCTTATACTACCATTAATAACCAAGTATTTATTCTATATTCAATATATTAGGTAATACAATATCTTGCTTTTCCTTATCAAGTACTATGTTAAGATAATTTCAATCTTGGATCTTTGAAAAAAAACTTTTTCATTTCTTTCTTGAAATAAATCTTTCTTTATTTGTTGTTGCAGCCATCTGGTACTGAGGAAGAATTCTCAGGTTCTTTGTCACTAGATCCGGAACGATCGAATCAACAGATCAACCTAGAGTTTCCCGATGATAACGTGATTCCTGGAACTAAAAAATGCTGGATATATGGGCATAGTGAGATTTTACAAGATTGTGTAATGTATGGAAACGAAAAAAATTCTAAAAAATATGATATAAAAACTCACAAAAATTCCGATGATTTTTTGACAATGATGCAAATATATTGAAATGTATTGTATGTATGGGGCCGGCCAAGTTCACATAAAGTTAAATGAATTTCGAAAATTCACATAATGTATTCTAGGAACACATAATTGGTTACATATTTTTTGTTGATGCTTAAACAGATGTTCGAACAAAAACAAAATTAGGAAGTGTTTGAAATCACCAGTTTGAACTGAATGTTATAAAATGACATACAATTAGATATAGACATCTCACGTTTGGAGATGCATAATTAAGACTTTGAGACGCTAATTAGGAGTAAATACAGCACAGTAGTAATATATTTCACCAATTACTTGTTTTTGATTTTACAAATTGTTTTCCGCTGAATGCATGTCTTTGAAACGCATTTGAAATTTTTTTAGTGAGTTATCTGGGACCGTTATTGCAATTTGATCCAATATCAGAAACGCCGCAAAATTTGGACAATTCAATCAGTCTCCCCCATGGATGCGGAGAACAAAACATGAAAAGTGTGGGACCGAATGTATTTGTGTTCAATTATCTCAAATTTATTCGAGACCCAAAGCCCTCCGAACAAGCACAAATAAAGACATTCATAATAGATGGTAAGTCATGAATAGAAATCACAAAAACCCACTCAAACTTTTGAAGATGTAGAATTTTTTTAAAATGATAGTAAGAGCATATAAAAAATACCATTTTCGCAACTACTATGCGTCATTTCTTGCTTATGTATTTAATGATGGTCGGTTTGCATTAGTGTGCTTCGTCATCGTAAGTGTACGACAAGCCAAAAGTAACCTTTGGGTTAATCATCTTCCTATCACAATCATCTTACTTACAATTTATTTATCACCTTGAGTTATGTAGAAACACTTCGTATCCACAATAAAAGTATACAATGGCGGAACTTTATTTTGTATTGTTTACCTTTTTTTTATACCTACCATAGTCTTTTAAAAAAAATATTTGTTGCAATGTTCAGGATACACAAGACAGCAAAGTCACAGGAACAATGGTAAATGGGCAATTTGGAGTTACTACGCTCCTACTATCTGGTAAGAACGTGACACACATTAACTTATTTTCAGGACTATTTCTAGATCTGGACGAGGTCAGTGATTGTTTGAGACGTCACTCACGAATGAGTTTTTGTTTTTCATTTCTATGGTCGAATTCCTGAATTGAGTGATTTTTTATTCAATATTATTAGAAAATCGTCTTTTGAAATATGATTTTTCATTAAACCATTATTTTCATTTCCTCCCAGGTTGAATGCGTACGTTAACAAAGTGTTCTTGCACTCTCGGGAAGTGTGGTCCGAGATGGATATAAGGCCGATTTGTACTTCATTAGACTGGATTGAAAAACAACAAAAACCAAATGGAGCATTTTCTGAACAGGCACATTCGAGACATTATTGGGTTAATGTAAGTATTTAATAACCACCACTAAACTTCACATTTTTCCTATTTTCTATTTCTACGTGTTTTGCTTTGATTTTTAATATTACTAATTTGTTTTCAGGTTGCGGAAGGCGGTGAGGTTGCACTAACAGCATACGTTCTTATTAGTGTAGCTGAAACTTATGTGGAATGTCCTGAGAAATCATTGAATAGTCGGATTAATACAATGATGTATGATCATGACTTGTAGACACATTTTTGCACCTGTAGAAAGTACTTTAATAGGCATAAAATAAGCAACAAAAATTTTTATTTTTAAATTTCAAACATGATCACAATATTCAACAAGACCGATCGTTGTTACCAGTACGTTAAAACTTTAGCTGTCCAGCTGAGCACTGAGTTTTGTGAAAAGATTGACTGAAAAGAGTATCGGAAAGCAGATATGCGTATCGGAATACCGTGCTCATCTATTATAATGAAAGTGTCATAACAAAATAAAATGAAACGGTAACATTATGATGTGAAAAATGCCATATAAATAAAAAATAGAAAAAAGGTTGACAGTCGTTTGAAATATATTAGTCCATTAGTAAATTGGAACAGAGATTTTTTCTCATCAGCAATTAGAAAATCCAATAACAACAAATTAACGGAACGATCTATAGGTCAACTTTACTTTTATTAAATCACCAGTTGTTTCAATTCCCCAACTTAGAAAAAAATTATTAATGATGTGTTGTCTTTTCAGGAGAAAAGCAGAAACATATCTTCGTGGGGTACCGAATCCCGATATACCCTATACAGCTGCAATTACCGCTTATGCTCTAGCGTTGGCAGATTCCAGACACCCTGCAACTCTAGCTGCAAATCGAAAGCAAGTAGCAATTTATGAATAGCGTAATAGATTTTTATGTCATTAAAAAAAATATATTTATCTCAGGCTTCTGAATTTGAAACGACAAAACGGTGATGAAATATTTTGGAAGGGTCCACAACAATCTAATCGAAACATACCAACTTGGAGACGTAGGAAGCAAACACCAATTGATATAGAAACTACAGCCTACGCACTGTTGGCCCAAGTGAAACTGGCACAAGAAGGTATCATAGGCTATATTATTATTACAATTGAACCCGCTATAAAATAACACTATTCCCACTCTAGACCTCTGACTTTTCATAACCGTTCCCTCTCTTTTTCTCTAGAAAATGGTTTTATTTTTTCTTGTAGAACTGATGTGCTATTTAGTATTAATATTCTTGTTACCAATGTTACGGCTAGAGTTCACATATAGCGCCGTCCGCTAGATGCCATCGCTTCGTATTTTCTCCCCCAGTTTTCCTAGATATGAATATCTGTGGCATTTACTCAAAGAATAAGGATCAGGCATAGTCTGAATAATAGTAGTTTGCAAGGTTTGTTTGCAATAGTAATTGCAAGGTGTGTTTATGAGGTGATTTAATTGTGCTTGAAAATATTTTTGTTCATTTACAATTTGAACATAAATTCGTTTTCTCCAATAAACAGGTAGCGACATTAACCAAGGTACAATTCAGATGATCAACAGCATTGCACGATGGATGGTGAATCAGCAAAATGATCGAGGTGGTTTTCAGTCATCTCAAACAACTGTAGTTGCCATACAATCTATGACAGAATATGCCAAATGGATTGAAGATGCAGTAAGGATAAAATATCCACTCCACGTTGATTTTTCTTTTTTCGTCAGAAAAATTGAATAGGAATTTATGATATTTTATGCTTAAAAAAAATTAAAAAAATGAAATGAAATCAAACCGTGGTTTTCTAGTATATATACAAAAATCAAATTTGGAGCATCGTTCAATTTTACAATTACACCATTTTGGTTTTCACATGAAGATCGAAATGTTATTGATGATTGTTCAACAACTGCCTATGAAAGGTCATGTGCCCAGTGGTACCGAGTAAATAAATTCTAAATTATAACTATAACTTTCAAGATGACGTCTACTCCCATATCAGATGCACCTGTCGAATAGTTTATATTCCTTCACTTCAAAATAAAAATAGACGATAATCCATTTTTCTTCTAGTGTGTTGTTATTCAAACTTATTTTTCTTTAAGCTTTTGCCATGTCAGTAATAGTAAAATAGAAAATGGATCTACTATGAACTCGTATATTTTATAAGGAACCACAGCCGAGGAATCCCCATCTTAATATTGTACTAACTGCGCCTGGAAATCAGGAATGGAGGAGAGGTTTGCCATTTAACATAGATGAAAGACATGAATTTTATCGTAAAGAGTTAGAGGTTCCTGTAGAAGTTATTCGGGAAACTCGCGTCATTCAAGTTGCTGTTCCAAGAGGTCAACACGAATATGTTTTTATCATTTATAAATTTTCTGAAATTTGTTAATCAAATATCATAATATAATTAAGACTTGGCATTTCGAATTGACTACTTAATTATTTGAATTGATTCAGATAAAAAGTTCGAATTACTGCCATCATGTTTTTCCCTTAGCCGCCAAATGTCAGGTGGAATTTCTCCATTTTATTAAAGCGATATTTTTACAATGGAATTCTTGCACATGACTGTTCTTTCGAACAAGTTATCAATGAAACACGTTTCTTATTGTATGCGAAAGTTCGCCAAACTGACTGAATTCGCGTTTTCAGTAATTTTTGTGCCTGGAGGACACATCACAATTAAAAAAAAAGTAACGTACAATTGAATATTTTTCTGAAGTATTCGAGATTCGTTTGAAAAAATGTTCTATTCTGAAATCATTGGATCAGTGAAAATGCCCAGCCCTTAAGATAATAGCGTCATTTTTCTCTCCATACAGCAACTTTTATACTATTTCTGCTAGATATTTCGTTGCAACTTTTCGATTTTATAAAACAGGCGAAGGTCGAGGCACTTTGTCCTATCGGTGCATCTACAGACAAACCTCAGATTCCGAAGTCTGTGACTTCAACATTATTGCAACAACAGAACTGGTTGGGCATATGGCAGAGGATGGGGAAGGAGAGGCCGCGCCGGGAGAAGGAAAAAACGTTTTCAAATTAGTGGTGCGAAAGTGTTTTGTTGCTTGCATATACATATTTTTTGCGGAGTTTTTCAACAAATTTTCATATATCAATTATTTCCTCACTTTGTGAAATCTTTTCCGCCAAATTTGCAAGACAGTTTTGACCATATTAAGCCATGTGTCAACCATTGGCGATACCGACATGCTTAAAATGCAATCAGTCTTAAAAACGACATCTGTTATTGAGGGCATTCGTATTTTTAGTAAGTCTCTCACATTTTTCTCGATCTTATTCCAGTTGGATATTCAAAAGCTATCTGATGGTGATTCAGGCATGGCAATAATAGATATCGGATTAATATCTGGCTTAGTGCCAATTGAATCAACTCTGGATGCAATAAAAATTGGCAATACTGTAGATGGCCTCAGTAAGTAAATACACTTTCCTAACTTCCCACAGACAAATATATCCACTGCGTGAGACTTACCTAATACAAAAAGATGCATACGGACATTTCGGATCCGGGCGCTTTATTCATCAATTGTAAACTAATTTTGAATAGATTACCTTGGAGAATAGATTTACCTTAAGTATCAAATTAAAAAATTTAGTGAAAGACTATATTAGGGATTAGAAGTTTGTTTGTTTTAAATGACTCTCATTTTCATTCGATATGATTGCCTTATAGGTAAACCATGATTATTTCTTAATTATCTATAACGTGAATTATTGTTAACTAATATTCATCATTCTGATTAGATTGTATTAATATAAACGAAATATAAGAGCATGAATTATAAGGTTGCAAAGACAATTCATCACTCATCTGCAATGGTAAACAAATACACAAAGGTTTTTAATATTCCAGTTGACGATTATGAAATCCATGACGAAAAAGTTATCATTTATGTTGAGAAGATTCCAAATCAAAGCAAAGATTCTTTAACACTTGGGTTTAAATTACAAGAGGCAGTGACCGTGAAAGGAGCAAGCCCGGCTAAGATTGTCGTGTATGATTATTACAAGCCAGACGAGGTTTGATGATATTTATTGTGATTAGAATCACATTTACATATATAGCAGAGGTGTTGAAGTATATTGTACAATATAGTAATCTAGATTCTAGAGGATCCCATTCAATTAAGCGTTTTCTAGTTTTTACAAAGTTATTAAAGTTATTCAATCAAGCTACGAAAGTGCATCTAATTCCTCATGGCTGATTATTGTGCGTCAAACATCGTCAAACTGCTAATTAATTTGCGTCAAACAACTTAAAAACAACTTGTAATTTTGTGAGACATAGCAGCATGTAGAAAAGAAGAAATGCTTTCAATGATTAGCCTATAGCAGGTTAAATTCACTGTTACTGGCATTTGGTTAACCGATAATCCAAGTCCTGCATCTTGCTATCCAATTATTGTGTGAGATTTGAATAAATCTGCACGTATTGAGGCTTACTTTTTTTCAATACATGTTTTCTACATTGAAAGAATTTCCTTCAGTTGAAAACTTTCTTGGTTCTAGGTCACCTGTAGCAAGTCCTACTCTTTACCAGGTGGGTCACCAACGATCCGAACAAGTTGCTCTGCGACCTCTATTGACGATTCTACTCAACAAATTTGTAAATGCGCGGAAGGTGCTTGTCCAACTTGCAGGTAATATTATTAGCGATCTAGTTGAAAATCTGTCAATGAATTATCGGGAATATAGAATTGTTCATGCAAAAACAAAATTTGTTTACAGCTCAATTGCACAAAATCCTATTTTGTCATAATCACAGACATTTGCTAACCATTTTTTAGCGATTGCTGTTTAAACGAGAACTGCCCAACTAGTTCGATCTGAATAGGACTCTGTTCAAGGAGCAGTTTACACGCCATAGTTACTGGGTCTTAAACTACCTATATCTAATTTATTCAAAATACAATATTATTCTGTTTTTATCGTTTGAACTGCACTGTTGCTATTCGAACAGAACAAGAGAAGAACAACTTGTTAAAACTTGCGCAACAAATAATCGCTCACCTGATTGTCACGACCTACACCGAAGCATATGCGGCAGGTAATATATAATTCAAAAATTCTTCAGAAGATGAAATTCAATTTAAATAAATCTTTCATTATTTCAAATACAAAAAATGTAGATAGTTGTTGATGTTGTTAGATGTGATATTCATCTCGCTATTGTACTGAGTTGGCAAGTAATTCAAAAAATAGGGCTCTCTGTTAGACCAGAATTGATTCGCCTAAGGATTGGGAGTTTCGTGCTACCTTCATGCTTTCTGTTAGTTTGTAAAGTGTTTCAATATTTACAAATTATAAGCGAATATGCCGCTATTGGTAATTAAAGCGTATAAACTCCAACACAGTATAAGCACAAGAGACTATAGTTGAAACAATATTTATTTATATTTCTTTCAGAAATTACGGATTTTTTGTCAATGTTACTGAAGTAGACATTCATAGTATGCCACAATTTGTCAAAATGACTGCTGTTGTTGAAGAAGTTATTCACAGAAGGTGTAAGTGATTTGAGGTTTCGATCAGACAGAGAGTAGATTCACCGAACGAAAACTAATAATTTAAGATGCTTTATGGAGTCTATACTAATGATGCAATAATTGGGCTCTTCTTGTATTACTATATAAGCGCTGAAGAAAAATTCATTCTCCAAGAACTCAATGGATTGAATTACGTTGAGTTCGAACCCACTTTTATTGTTTTTAATATAAATACATTCTGGACAAAGTTGTTATAATTTTGATATTATCAAATTATCAGTAACCAATGTTTTTGTAGTGGTCTTTGATTGTAATATAACTTTATTACTTTCACATTATAGTTGCCTGTACATCAAATTGCATTTAATTTATTTGTGGCATGCATGGTTAGGATTTATTGCATTTTTACACTTTAAATTATCCTTTTTAGCTGAGGATTCTAATGTCGCAAGGAACAGAATAAGGACATTTATTATTCGTAAAGATTGTTTCGATAGATGCTCTGTGAATGACGTTTCTGTAAAGAGCCTTAGTGTGAGACATTATATATTGTTTATAATATTCATTTCATATCTCTTTCTGTTAGCCTCCGCGCCGAATACATATCATGAAGTATATTCAAAACATCAGATATTCCCATATAATATATACTTTCTGTTTGTGACAAGGGTATACAATACATTGTTACAGTATATGTACAAATAATGTTTGTAGTGTATAAAAATTGACGGATCTGGTGAGACCATTGATCCTCGTGAAGGATATTAATTTTGCAACTCCAAATAGAAACGTTTGATGGTATCGTAAATGTGTGTAAGTCGAATATATAAAAAGGTTGGAAAATAACCACAAAGATCCCTGCAATATCCAGTTAATATTATATGTATATATATTTATGCACACGTCCTCGAACATTGTGTGTACGGATGGTCAATGAGGAATTGCTAATTGCTAGAACTGACAGTTGCAACTCATTTTAACAGGACTCAAATTATTTTGCTGCCGGAAGATCATATTTAGTCCGAGGCAGGGAACCGGAAAAAATTGTCAAATCTAGTGGCGGGAATAGGTACTGTACGGGGATTACAACTTACCTTATTATTTTTTTAACAACATTGATTTCAATGCTCATGTTTTGTAAAATAGTACTAAGAAGCAATGAACGAAGATTTGATGAGTAACCGGTACCGGTAGCTTATACGACGTACGCTGAAATGTGTCCTCTAATCATTTAAATCGAATCAAAATTGCAAATCAAGTTTCACTGCAGTGTAATTTCACATCGATACGGTAAGACCGACTTTGTCACAAAATATGTCGGATTTGTTTGAAGAAATTTAACAATGTCCGCAAGATTCGTCAAAATCGCAACTTAGCAAAACGACCCATTTCCAATTGGTGACTAATAATGAATTACCAGTAAATCGGGTTCACCCGTTCCGAATATGTTTACGACTTATCGGAACTTAATAATATCGGTAACTTTTCCTAACAGTATTCCATTTGTTTCAGGTTCGATTATTATTTCGATAAAGATGCCGTAATTGAAAGAACTCTGTCGAGAGATAAGTGCGAGAAGTTTGAAAAATTCCGCGTCGAGTGCAAGGGACAGAGGAAGAAAAGCCCAAAATGCAAAAGCAAACTTCAAAAACTTAGAATTTGTGACAATCAGGAGGATATGAGACAAAAGGTCATCGAAGGTTGCGATTGAGGTTAGGCCTGCTGTAAATATATTTTATGCTTCTAACATGTGTATTATGTATGAGCACTAACAAGTATGATACAAAATTCAACTTCCAATTGAACTGAGCTATCTACAAAAATTTGACAACTATCTTATGCCTCCAAGAGTGGATAAAAATCGGAGTTATCATAATATAGCTTACTCTCACAATTAGTTCAATATATCATGAAAGGTAAATTAGTAAAACTAGTTCATTGAGTAAAAATTTTTGCTGTTTTCCTGAATAAGCATCTTGGGTCAAATATTAGTTTTTATGGTACTTTGACTTTTCTATGCCAATAACAAAAAAATTAATTATTTGGTATCAGCAAAAACATTTCACCAATTAAACTTCATGTGATCGAGTTTCAATAATTTATTTTCAAAATTTTATCTTCTTCTGCTGAAAAAAGCTGTATTTTTTTAATTTCATTATATTTTAGGTTCATGGTCAGCTGATATAACACCGATTGTCTCCATATCTACGATTAGGTTCTACGTATTCATGATTTACCTTCTTTTTTTTTATTGCATTTCCATTGATTGCCGATTCATACATACACATTCAAACCTTGATAACGAGAAGCTACTACAAATCCAGCTCTATATCTGTCTGATTTATTATTTTAGAATCTGTATTATTTTTTCATCCAAAATTTGAACCACGGACTTTCCAAAAAAATGAGGATCCTTTATCAATATCGTTGATTTCAGGTTTACCTCGAGGCCTCATATATGTCCTAATAAAATAGAATAAACGGAATGAGAGCTATGTTGATCAGGTATTTTGTTATCTGCTTTACCTCGATACGGTTTGAGCTTAATAGCTATTTTCATTACAAGTAGATTCATATAAAAATGACGTTTTGGGCAAAATTCTTTTTGTTTGAGTCAAATGGAAATATTACCGTCATAATACCGTAGTTATTACAATCATCCTATCAAAAACTAATCACAACATTTGCTGAATAAAATTCTGACTGCATCAAGTTGTTGCAGCAGTATCATTGTTGGTTTTGTTTGTTCTGTACTTTAAAAAAAGTTGTTGTAAGTTCAAAACTTTATTTAACTTGAAAATTTAATTCGCTTGATATTCGATTTAATTCGCTTGATATTCGCTTGAAAAAACCTTTTCAATACAATATTCAATGATCAGGTAATGGAAAATTCGACTGCATACCATCCTCTAATGAAAATCTTATATAATGAACTTTCAAGGATGACTAGTCAATGAGACTGCAATAGAAAATGTGGAATGTGAGATATTAATATGATGTACTTTCGCTACTTAAATATATTTATTAAAACAAGCAAAATAGTAAGTGCACTTCGGAAATATGACGGTTAAGATTAATAAAATCATGAAATTCGTTTTAATTCCTAAATAAAATAGTTCATACCACCGGCGTTACCTTTCCTTGACTAAAAATTGAAATATTATTATGCATTTTTGACGAGACTCTAATCCATTGGGATATTTAAAGTTCCGACATATTCGTTGTTGAATTAAAACATCACATCATTTGTAACAATTCCTATCATTTTCATCTAGGGTAATGATTCTTGACTATTTCTAGTTTATAAGTTTATAAACAAGACTTCAAGATCGTCCTTATTTTTGAGATTTGTCGTCTTATTTTCAGTCGTAGCACAGAATGGTTCTCAATACTACCCAAACAGTGCGCGGGTGACGATGACTCTTGAATTGCATAGTGCAATTTTTCTATTTTCTTTGTCAAATTCGGTGTTGTAAATGTTTTTTAGTTTTGCGGTTTATGCTATGCTCTAGTATTAATTTTGTCCAAACAAATAATTACTCTTGCAAGTATAAGTAATTTTGGATATAAGTGTATAAAAAAGTCTCGCACAATAATAACAAATGATATGGCCAACAAATGATTGTTGGTGGAAAGTATACTTGAGCAACTCGTTTTTACCGACTTTCTTTCTGGTTTCGAGCTGACGTAAGTCGTGCCCATACGCTTTCTACATTCTTTCACCAATTCGGGCGTCTTATTGGTGTCTTTTAATAACTTTCTCCACGTAAAAGTAGTTACTGCATTGTATAAAGTTCATTGTATACCATTTCATGACTTTGGGCCATATCGTAGGCATCTGACGCGTCAGCTGGGGATGTATTGAGGTTACCAGATGTAACTTGATACACATCGTTATCAAGGGGAGCTTCGTAAATATTTTCTGGTTCTGATAATTGAACATTTGACAGTGAATCCACTTTTTTATCAGGTTTAAATTGTGAGTTTATGATTCCATTACCTTTTTTGTTTGAAGATTTGCTTTGTTGATCCCTCTTTCTGAATATATTAAAATTTAGTTATGGAGTTGAGGTAGGATGCTCAATTTTAAATAGGGTATCCAACCTCAACCCCAGAAACTAGGAAAATAGAAGTAATAATTTTCGTGCGACTTTTTATATTTTCCAGTAGGGAAATTTCGAGATTGATTGGTTCTGCAGTTGCAGATAAACCCCACTTTCACAACTAAATGATCACCGGGTACAACAACAACGACAACAACAACAATTTAGTAAAATGATCCACATACACTGACCATGCATTCACTTCAGTATCCAACAACAAACTTGTTCGATTGGATCGTGTTTTAACCACGTTGAACAAAAAAATACCGATGGATACATTGCGAATTAATATAATTACCTTATAATCCAAATAACAACGAGAGCCGCCGCTTCAATTGTAGCTAAGACAGCAAAGATAATTGCAGCTGCGAGACTTCCATAAACATCTTTTGTGGAACTTTCTGTAACTATGTTTTTTTCGGTATTGCTATTGAAATTAGTATAGGGTATGGAAGTACCTGAAAATTGTATAAAATTTTGCCTTGCCGGTTCCAATTTGCCTAATCCTAGAGTGACTTATTTTATAATAGAATGAAGTGGTATTGCTCCCATTGTTTTTCAATTTTCAGTATTTTAAAATATAAGAAATTACTGAAAATAATATTTACATGTTTAAAGTTTCCTCTGAGTACAATAATATTCGAAGTCTTCCCCTAATTTTTGCTGTTTATTTTAATTCATGGGAACACTCATTATGATATATGGAAACAAATTATTCTGTCGCGCTTATCCGCCGATCTTTTCGGCAAACAGGGTGCTCAGCTAAGGTAGTACCAGTACCGATGCGCGAGCTTTGGACATTTTTCTCATATTTTTGTCAATATTGCCTTTACCGAAGTTGCAACGTGCAATTGCAAAGCACTACAACTTGTTATTTCCCTCAAATACAATAAACTATAATACATACCTTTGACTTCATGTTCCAATGTACAGGAGATATATTTATATTCTAAATCGAATGAAGGGGGACCCCAAGCGTTCCAAAACCAATTGATTGAATACTTAATCTTCATTGACGGAACATCGTCAAAATAGTAAATATTATACGAACAATTTTCCCACTTGTTGATATTACATTTTGAATTTGGTTGAAATATTAAGCAAGTGCCGGAAGGAAGACTTGTGATTCTCACACCTGGCAAACACAAAAAGTGATTAACAGTAATTCGGCTGTCTCAAATATTTCTTGTCCCACGTCTCCAACTTGTCCCACTTGCACAATTCTGCTAAATCTTTATTAAGAATATAGTAAATATCTCTACTGAGTTGTTATCCACTACGTCAGTTTAATTAGACATAATAAATATCTCATATCGATTCATCGTGTCTCGTATTTTAAATCATCGTTTCATAGAGACATGTTGAAAACTATTTTGTAGGCTAAATGGAAAAGAGATTGTGAGTATATATGAGCCGATCACAACAATCTTTACAAACTGGTATAGACTATATATATGTGTTTGTGAACATAAAACTGTACGATTGGAGGCGTTATGACTGCGATCCCGTAAATATCAGATACTATCATACGTATAGCTCAGAAAATGAGTTTTTTCATATATATCACAAAACTGGGCATGCATTGGAATATGCAAATATACGGAAATGAAAAAAAACAAATGATTAACTGTTAAAATATTATTGAACAGAATATTGTTATTTTGATCTTTTTCATATTCCTTATTAATTTCAATTCGATAATGTTACCTCCTATTTCCAAATCTGCTTTGGTAAACTTCTTTGACCCTTTGCTTTTGTAGTGTAGGCTGGTACTATTCAAGTGAATCACCAGGGTAGATTTCAAGTGATTGTCTCTACGCGGCAAAGTCCATTCTGTGCAGTTTCCAACGCTTAACGGCCCAGCGGGGTATGCTGGTGATGCAATTGTTCCATTAGCTTCCGACATCGTAATGTTATCACAGATGACAGCGACAGAGACCGATACGATATCTTTATTGAAATAAGAAACATTTTAGTATAGTGATTTTAGTTGTGATAAGCACTAGAAAGTGTCAGGTTCCTAGGTCAACCAGGTACCATGGCATTTAGTTGTGATATCGTCCACGTTTATAGAATGACCTTGTTTCTTTTCTACATAGACAAATTGGAGCCAATTATTATGTCATTGGAAGTATTTTGGTCTTAATTCATTGTGCCTGTAAATAACCGTGTATTCTATTCGCTACTGGCAGAAAAAATGTTCATGCAAAAGTAGTAATAATGTAAGCAAGCGGCAGTGTTGTTTAGAAATTGCCATTCCATTCTTTAAAGAAAGCATAAAAAATGACCTGAATAAATGAAAATGTACTCCACTGGGATGGAATTTATCCAACCTATCGTTATAATGTCATACTTTCGGGCGCCACCATGAACCCACGCGGAAGTATTTGCATCCACGTCATAGCCAGGTACATTTGTTTAACAAGACGATTATTTCAGGTTAACATTATCAAACATGACTCGGTTATATTGAGCGGTGCAAAGGTCACTTATCACACGGAAATGTAATTCTGATACAAGACCTTTGAATCACGGAATATAGCTGATTCATGCTATACAGTATCCTTTCGTGCTATAGTATACGGGTCCCCTGACATAAAGGCACAGAAAATGTTAGAAAGTAGCTATAGGTACACCCTACTGCAATCCATAATATCTCATTTATTCATTTCATTTCCATGAATCCACCCATATTAAGTGTTTTATCTCATCTAATTTTTACAAGTTGATCTTACCGAAAATGAAAAACATGAAAATGCATATCCTCTTAGTATCCATCAGTATTTGCGGAGTTCAACTAGATAGAAAATATATCTTTGCGACAATATTCTGTATTCAAAGAAAGAATCTCATAATAACAAATATTTTTTCAACCTGAATTCTATATTTGCTTTAAAAAGGTATGTATATAAACGTATATCAAAATACAAAATCTTATCTTAAATCTTATATATAATCTTATTACATCGCGGAAGAACTGCTTGAATATTCACAATTATGTGTTAATAATCTATAGCCTATAACGTAGGCTAGGACAGACATATTTTTGTCACCAAAATGAACTTTTTTGACTGATAATTGCCTTACTCATTTTTCTGACAATTGTCGTTTTATCGAAGCAATTACTTTAAATCAGGGGTCGGCAACCTACCCGGCGGGCCGGATTCGGAATCGAATGGAATTTTTTGAGATGCAATCCAATGAGGAAATAAACTATATTATATTTGAGAGATGTATCACTGCTTGATTTTTATTATAAAAAGTATCATCCGTTCGGTTTTCACTTTACTAAAAATATGTGCAGTCCGCCAATGACTTGCACCCCTTTATTTTGGCCCGCGAGCGACAAAAGGTTTCCGACCCCTGCTTTAAATGGTGAATACAACCTTGTAACAAGGCTTCATGATTCACTACATGAAACACTTGCATATGAGATTTTCGATAGTTTATTTATTCGCAAACAGATGCTTAGTATAGTTGATATAGTTACTGAGTTTTCAGTTCAATCTGCAAAACACCTGATTTTTCCATCAATACAAACTGAAGAAAATCATATTAGAAACTTTTACTCACATTAGTTCTTTGTTGTCTTCTTATCCAAATGACGATAAAATCAAAATTTCCATATTTAAATCATCAATGAACGCCAAATCTTGTGACAATGTTTGCGTCATGTTGCAATTAACGAACAGATGCCATTATAATCATGAGCATCACACACGCGCATCTGACTCAGGTATTCGCACAATTAAGCAATGACTGAACATGCTTCAGCAAATCTGCCTACTATACTTTAATGTTATACTTAACATGCTTAACAGTGTGATTAATGTCTTTTAAGGGCACAGAGTTTGTAATGTTATATTGTCCTATCATAAATCAAGTCTTCGCGCAAGAGTTATTCATTTATATTCACATTTACATGGATGAATTAGTCATTATAACTCTATTCTTATCTATTCTTACTTGGATTACTTTTGCCCGGTAAAACACAACATAGTCAACTACTTTTTATGAAAACGTGATAAACAGTTACCAAAAGAATGACGATACAAAATCATTTGATTATTATTATTTTTAGGAAATTTAATGCAACGAAATTTTTGCGTTTTTGCGAATTGCACGTTTTCATTCTAAACACCCCACGTAGCGACTTTCGACGTAAGTCCATCAGTTTATATATATTGAAATAGATTGACTCTACGTCATTTGTAGGAATTATGAGGTTTTAATATTGCTACTGATGCAAGACATTTTCAGTCATCAAAATGTACGATTCGTGTTCATATAATATAGGTGAGTAGACAGACTGATTTTTTGCCTCTATCTGAACTTGCTTCACGAATCTATTCAAAAACGCTTACTACCCCTCAGCGCCATTTAGTTTTATTTAAATCATGAGTGTTACCTGTACCGACAATTTTACTATGAAACTCATTTTGCATGTTTTTACCCCAGTTGTCTGCTGTTCCTTATCAATTTAAATCTATCTCACTATTTAAGTTTCTCCAAGTCATGTTGAATAATCGTCTGAAAATCCCAAATGCTAAATTGAAACAAACACTTTTTACTTGATTATTTATTAGCACTACATTACTTACTGGAAACCTTCGTGGTAAACTCAAAATGTTTGTTTTTATATTATAGAAGCTGTATATTGTGAAAATGTGAGGTCTGATTCACATATCTAAATAGCACACAGAAACATGAAGGTACAGAAAAATACTCAGATGTATCCAGTATAAAATAACTTGTATCTAGAATCCAAAACATTTCCATAATTATATTTCACTCAACTCTATATCAAAATTGAAGTTTACCAGGCATGCATAGGAATATATTGAACTAGTTATAACATCGTCGCATTCATGGCTTGCGCTCTACGACAAAGGCTCATCTTGTTTGAATTAAGTTTAAGATTTTCTTTCAGAATAAGTCATTTCGAGAAATGTCCATGATGAATGTAAATTGAATGGTGCGTGCAATCATTGACATGTTTGAATTTGTACAGGAGAATTTCTACATTGCAAAATTGGTGTTATATACAAAAATTGAGCAGACGGTACTGTCAAGGAATAGGATAGGTAGAGGTTGATTAGTCTTGGGCATTGTAGAATGATATGTTTGTTATGATAATGTTCGTTAAAAAAGCAAGAGGAAATAAAATGAATCAATTTGATTTGGAAACAATATACCGAGTGAAATATATATACACTTGAGATATATTCGTAAAACTGATGATTGGGTCATATTTATTAATAGGATGTTATATTTCAGCTGTTGAGTATTCCAACATAGTATCTCAGTTAAACATTATAGACAAGTTTGGATGCAATGATATCAACAATAGCTATTAAACTTATATTTTTTCTTATTTTTGGCTCTATGTCGTTTGTTATATTTTATCCTCTTATTTTTTTTTATATGTTATAATAATTGCTTTTGTAGCTACTGAAAACAGGTAATTTGACGCATTTTTTTTTCAGAAATTACCTCGGAAGAGAGTGATAAGTTACTTATGGGCCCCCAGTCAGTGGAGGTGAATCGGACGAGGTCATAGGCGGATTGGCAGGAGCAGTTGCATTGGATGAAGCCGAAGGCGGAGTGGCAGATGCAGAAGCAGTTGGACCTGATGAAGTCATAGACGGATTGGCAGATGTAGAAACCATTGGGTCGGATGAACCCATATGATCGGTTGTCATTGTATAGGTTGGATATTGTGAAGATGGGTCCTGTGTACCGGTTGGCCACTGAGAACCCGTGGACCATACAGTGGCTGTTGGCCATTGTGTCGTGTAGGGCATATTAGTGGTAGATGATGCAGTAGGACCGGAACCGCCGTCAAACTCACATGATGACATGGACCTGAAACAATATACAGTAGCTACATTGCATTTACATTCTAGCATTATGGTAGACAATTGCAGGACGACGGAAGGATATTGTTTATGAAGTCCAATTTAAATGCAAAGGAAGAGTGCACAACATACTTACCCTGAACAATCTTTAGACAAAGCGTTGAAGATAACCATGAGTTTTCTATGACGCATGTGCAACATTGACCAACCTGCAGCTACGTTGCCAGTACCTGAAACAATATAAAATATCTGAATAACAAATCTAAAATCTGGCAGTTTAAAATAAAAACTTTTACAAAAATCTACTGAGTCTTTTCTCGCTCAAAAATTAAAATAATAAAAGTTCAGCTAGTCTAATTATATACGGTATTTATATTTTGACATATCAATTTTTCATCCTGATGTGGTAAAATATTACAAATCTGAATTGTGATTCAACGCCCACCAATTGTGATAGTATTACGATCTGACAGTCTTATTTGCAGTGACACCCATCATCTACATCTATATTTTTACAATAGATATACGTACTTTCGTATCCTCCTGTAGCGCAATATAAAACCTTGCATCCTATTGGAGTAATAAGTTCTTTTGGATTTCCATTTCTGCATCTGACGTTGAGATTTTCGGCACACGGAAAATTGGCTGCCAGCATCTTCATAAATCCTTTCTTGCCTTTTCCGCTTGGCATTTGGCCGTAACCTGGATCTTGGTAGTTATTGTTCTGACTTCGATACCCTTGATCGTCACCCATGTATCCATCACCACGCTTTAATTTCATTGTATAAGCCCAGTCATCCCAGTCACGTTCGGCGAAATTGGAGCAACTTTGCCTAAATTTCAAAAACTTTATATTTCGAATGGAAAATAAAGACATAAAATACCTTCTATGAATAGTTTGACGAAAAGTCGGTGTTGGGCATTAGCTTATTTAGCTTTGTTTCGATGCAATGTTACTCAAAACCAATATATATTTGATGTGTTTTGGGAGAGTTTGGGGTTCGAGCCAGATAGTCGAAATAAAATTTGAAAAAAGTAATAGCTGCATATGAGGCGTTGTTTTGTTCCATGCACCAACAGACACAACTCAACAAAACTTCTTCAATAGATAAAACAAAATACTATCATTTATTGCTCGACAACAGCCACAGACAACCCTATTGGTTATTGATCAAGATGTTTCATTGAATAACTAAAATTGTTGCTAGAATTCAACGCATTGTTACACAAAATCAAGAACACATAAACACTTGAAATTGGCCTATTTGAATAATTTATTGTTTATGAATTACAATTTCATTTATTCTAGCTCACCACCAGTCCATAAATCTCATTTGCCATTCTATGAGACTCTTGCGGTAACTGATTAATTGACACATGTAAGCTTCTCGCATTTGGCATCCAGAACTGTATGCAGTAATTTCTGGACATTCATCATTACCGCCGTGGCCTGTGGAAGAGAAAAAAACACAATGTGTATTTTATTTTCAGAGTAATTTAATCAAAGTATAATGCAATCATTTTGCAATAATAAATGCATAAGGGCATGTAATTTACGAAAGGAGCTTGTTGTTGATTCCGCTTTGAAAATATGTCGATTCGGTTTCTAATGTTAATGTTAATTTTATTTCATTGTTGAACAGTTTTGGTGCTTTGCTACGAAAGTAATTTTAAATATAAATAGTTCAATTTTAATTAAATCAGACATACAATTGAAAATTTGGAAGAAAATATTATTTATCAATCTAATGCATATTACGTCCTATTGTGATTTTTATTATATAAGTAAAGTAAAACACACCTGAACAGAATGGAAGTTCTAGATTCATAATTAGAGAACGAACTGCTTTGGCCGCTCCAATGAGATGACCTGCTATGTCGCCCGGTAAGTTCGGAATATATTTTATCATTTCTAAGTTGCAAGTAGAGATAGCTGCAACTACTTTTGATTTAGCTGAAACCATAACTCTGAAAAAGTCGAGAAAAATTGTTTTTGCAAAATATATTTCAACATGACTTTAAAACAATTAAATAGCTTACAGAGCTAGAAAATCCACTTTGACAAATTAGTTTGTGTGCTCGGCAACATCTCGCATTGAAAGTTGTATTTAATATATTTTGCTAAAATATTTATATTCTGAATTCTTACTAAATTCATCATATTTTAATACGATCTTGACAGTAATCGTTGATCCTGTCGGCACCCGGCTCCCGTTATGTGTATAATTCATTATTCATTGATATTTCGTTTATTAAACAACCGAATATCATTTATGTTAATTTCCAATTATCATGTTTTAATAAATCATTTAAAACCTAAAACTTTGCTATTTTATTTCTATTCTGGTAGTAATTTAATGTAACTTAACATTCGAATAAGTTTGTTCTTCCTATGAACATATTCTTGTGAGCAAACGAATAGTAAAATTATATTATTAATATGAATGTACCTGCACACCCCGCCCAAGTCATGAACTGAACCCAGATCCATGTCCAGATCTTTCAAAGCATTTAGCAAATCATCGATGAACGTGTTGGCACACACAGGAGCGCCAATGTTGAGTGGCATGGACAAGGTCAAGTTGTATTGTTTAAGCATCTGGTACCATCCACCAGCTGGTCGCGGGCTACATATGGCGTGAGAGATGACGTAAGCCATCGACTGATTGTACATGGCTCCGATAAGACCCTGCAAAAATTAAATGGTCCCAAAAATAACTAAAATGAATTTTTCAAAATTGAGAACATTTTAGCTCCGATGAAAACTGATATACCTATATATAATTCCAATTCGTAGAGTATTCGATTATTATTGAGTGCTTGCCGATACGTTTGGGGTTTATATTATATGAAAGCAATCTATGATTGTAAAATCTAAAGCTTAAAATCTTCCATTTAAATTTTGGTACCCCTTTAAAAACGAATAAAATAACGTTGATATTCGTGATATTTGAAATCGATCAGCCAAAACATATGATCAATCATATTAGATGATGGTTTGATAATTCGTATAACCGAACATTCCATTATTCAAACATATCAAATTGCATCCATAATTATGAGGATTCATAATGTAAAAATATGATCATAAAATGTTGCAGCAAAACTAGAGTTCAGGTAGCGCGATGAAAATATAATTTTAAAAAATTATCAAGATATTCATTCTAGGTAGCAGGAATTGAAGAGTTTCGCACACCTTGAAGTTAGAATTAGACTAGACAACCCTTCAATAAAAAAGTTTTCCAGTAGTGTTTAACAAAAGGTCTGGAGGCAATACAATACCAAGTATCATTCTAGAAAGCTGTGTCTTGCAAGTTTTAATTCTTGATTACCAGACGGGAACCAAGATTTTACTGGCGGCGTTTCTTTTGCTTGTTTACTACGATTTAAAGATTTTCCAACTTAACCAGTGATTACACCTTTCAGTATATATTTAAGAAATATGGATCCGATGTTTACATGGTGTTGCAACTCAGGTGGTCGTTTCTATTCTGCGTAACCCTAATCATTCCAGTCCTTAAATACTATTTATATTTATTTCCCGCATTGTTTGGTATTGTGGCTTTTACCTGCTCGAGCAAGACAACTGTGAAGCATTCACACGTATGTATCACTTATGTATGAAGCATGTCTCCTCGTAGTCGATGGACCGTCTCATAACCACATTGTATTTTTTTCAAGCAGTGTATCTATACACATTTACTTTTTTTCATTAAATTGGTTGGTGATGAGAAAATTTCCAACAGCAAATTGAATATTTCTGCGCTAATATTGGTGCAAATCGATAACGCTCTTGGTTTTATCGCTTTTGGTGTTTATTTTTTTCATATTGGTTTAGATCTGTTTATGGTTTGCATTCCAGTGTGACCATTTTAAAGCAAAGATTTGAAAGTTTTTTTTCTGACTGAATTTGATTATGAATCACAATTCTAATGAAGATTTCGTCGCAAAATTTACATACTATCAGAAAACTTTGCTTCACATGAAGTGAATTGACAAGGCATGCAGTTTTGCTCATTAGAAAAACATTAAAAATAAATTCACAATTCTCGTACATTGTTGACTGCCGTCCTATTGAAAACATTTTACACGTACAACATGCACAAACAAAGATAAATACTAAACTTACCGTCATTATTTCGGGAACATGAGGAAGACTATAAATGCTTGTACATGCCATTCTAGAGCAATCGGTAAGAGTTTCTCCAATACAATGCATGGTTTTTGTTACACCATCGCTGAAAAATGTGGCTTGATTAGTATTGATCCAATCCGATGGTAAACTAGTGACATCAATAAGGTATTAAATATAAATAGAAAAATATCAAATATTTGGAGAAAACTTGGATACAAAGTTTTTGGATTATTTGTTTGGTCGGCAAGAAACTAAAATTGAGAAAAATATTAGACTTATTGCTCCATTTCAAAAATTATCAATGTTTGTGATACTTTGAGAGTGTAAAATATTTTTTTATGTCTCTATCAAGCTTATTTTGCATAAATATGAACCCATAGCCAAGTTGCAGAAAGAATTGAAAACGCTGTCAAACAGCATGAACTGACTAGCAAAAAAATCAATTGTGTATTCCATTCTAATTTGGCCCGTGTCTCAAAATAGTAAAAAGTGGTAAAAAAGAAAGAATATTTAAAACGAATGTTGAAGCTATGTAGGCAAAAAAGTTAACAAGGGGAGCGATCAGAATTTTTTTCAGGTAAATTAGCTTTTGCAAATTCTGCTCTCAATAGCAAATACTAAAAACGATTTAAACACCTAACAGCTGTATAATTAACAGTTACTAATCCTAAGTCGCCTTATCGAGTAACAAACTAAAAATATATATTTACGTGCATTCCCGCATGTCAACTTGTCCTGTGAGATGCTGCATGATATATGTGTCCATTCCATCAAAACATCGAGTTAATTTTTGAGCTGTGGTCTTAATTGTGCATTTAGGGAGGAAGTAATAGTCTGGAGTAACAGATAAAAGTGATTTAAACGTAAAACTACATACAGCTAGGATCGAAAACATCAGAAACAATCAGAAAATTCTATTATTTATTTGACGCGTTTTGGAAATAAAAAGTTCCTAGGAAGCTCAGTCAGCGTCCAAATATCGTTAAATGAAATTCCGACAAGTAGGCATTCGATGACTGACATTCGTAAAGCTGTGTGTGACAATTTGAACTTTTGATATAAAGATTCAGTCGATAATTTCTATTTGATAGTTGGAAATAAAACGCAACAATATCAACATACCGTCTTCTTTTGGAACTGGGCACTTGGCAGTCACTGAAACAAGGGAAATAATTTTATTTGGTATTTTTTTAATTTATTTTATTTATCAAAGTATTTAATTTTTAAAAATCAAAATGTCCAAGATAAGTACGTTTGAATTTTTAGTCAAAAAAAAGACATCACAACAGTACTTGACAGGTTTTTCCTTTCAATCAGGTGAAACACACTTTTAAAAAATCTGAACTATTGAAAGGAGCAAATAGGAACAATTCTTCAACATGCACCACTAAAAGATTACTTTGGCTCTAATCTAAAACTCCATTGTAAGAAGACTGGTACTAAAATATTTATGATTTATCGATTTTTAAATTACAAAAGTTTTCTCTTATGGAAGTGTTCGTTTAATTATGACCGGTTTTGGTTTAGTAAAAATTTATTATCCTAGCTAGCATCAGACAATGGATGTATATAAATAAACACTTACTGTCATACTGATCGCAATGTTCTCCAACCCAGTTCTCCTGGCACACACAAAACACCCATCCGCTTGATCCATCACAGATTGCTTGGTTTTTGCATGGGTTGTTTTGCAAACATGGGTCTGATGTAGAAAACAGATGAATTATCATAAATGCGGTTATCAATGATTTTGAAATGTATGTCAATGTTTAAAATAAATTCCCACAATTATGGCATCAACTAAAATTACCTCGGCATTTTGGAATTACCCATTTCAAGAAATAGTGCTGCGTTTTGTTCAGTAGATCGGCAAATCTTGGAGCAAGTCCTGTGTCATTTTTGGACAAAACTTCAACGATGTTAGACCAATTGCAACTTTTTTGAGTTTCGTTAAAAATGGCTACTCGCGTCCAGTCGAAAACTCTACAAACAGTCAATAATATTGTTATTAATCAATGTTGAATCCGAAACGTCAATTTTTAAATTGTAACGAAATTTTTCCCAAACACAAAGGTAGCGACACTTTTTCTATTTTTTTTTATTTTGCATGTTAATTTTTGCCCGTGCTCAAAAGATCGAAGTATTAAATGTGGTGAAGACGAACTAGACATGATTTTTTTCTGTGGGCGACATCTTAATATTTCAATAATATTTCGCTCGGTCACCATGGTTATATACCTAAAACGAAGTTCTTGCAAAACTCAAGTTCCCGATTTTTCACCCGCTATATTACGTGTACACCTGCAGGGCAGACAAACAAGCACACGATGTTCTAAAGTCACCCGACGGACAGTCAGCCCACAGTACGCCACATTTTTGCACAAACTTCAAAATTATTTTGAAAAGATCTACAGCTCTAGCATTGTTATATAACAATATGAGTAGAGCCTTAGTTATCAAAATAGGTATTTATGAAATCTATCTAATTAAATATGGTATACATTTTTTTTGAAAGAATTTATCAATTCCAACCTCATCCATGCGTAAACAGGCTGTATTTATGTATTTTACAAACATGTATCGATTTTCTGCACAATCAAATCAACATAGAAAAAAATAATTTTTTAATCCTTAGTCACGTACTTGCATGTTTCAGCATGACCCATATTTGGAACAAACAATTTCATGCCGGTTTGACGAAGAATTTTCAAGAAATTATCAATGAGGGTTTTTTGACACACTGGGCCTCCAATATTGAAGGTAATATTTGATGAAAGAAAACTTCCGTCGGGGCCGAGTTTTGGACAAACGACGTGTTCATATAGGTCTACCATGAATGGAGAACTCATACTCAACACTTCCGGAACAATTGTATTCTGTATAAATAAATAAATATCAATATTTTTGGAAAACCTAATCATTTGAATAAAATTATAATCTAGCCAAGGCATTTTACTTCAAATAAACGGGCTCATATAACTACTCCGTTTTGAGTATACTTTCTGTTTGAGCCAATTTTCCCATTTAGTAGAGCAATTAAGTCCTTTAAGATAAGATTATTTCCACACAAAAATTTAAACGTTTTCTGTGCCTACCCGACTTTGGTATATTTAGTTATCACAGCATGGTTTGAGAGCCTTGAAATCTAGTCAACTGTATCGCTTTCGTTTTTAGAAAATTTACTCCAAATTCATGCTATAAATACAGTCATACATAGTGATGAGATGGAAATCGAGACAACCGCTTCTCACCCTGTAAAAATCCTGGAATATCTGTAAATCCCAGATTGAACCAGCGCAAGCCAATGTCGAACATCGTGTAAGTACATTCGTCATGCAATGAATAGTTTTTATCATTTTAGTCCTGAAAAACAATCAATTTCATTCGATTTAGACTAAATAATATAATTTAATATCGCAGTTTTTACCAACATGAAAATACACCAATTCCCTCAATGAACTACATTTTCGCAAGCTACATATAACCCCGTGTTGAATTTACACTATATTTATTATTTTTGATGGGAATAAAAAATAAAAATGTAGAGTCATAATTGTATACTTACTTGCAAACATTACGGAGGCCATGCTGATCGATGTATGGTAGCTGTTCATTGATGCATTCTGATGCGTGGTCTAAGAATGTCTTCAAAGAACAAGCGGGGAAGAGTTTTGCATCTATAATCATACAATGGTATAAAATAAAAGTTCAGAATGGTGTATTTTGTGTCCCGAACTAATATAATATAGAAACATAGATAGAACGTAGCTTTCAGAATGAAACAAAAAATATTTATCATAAATTTGAATTTGTCATCGTAAACAAGAGATCAAAATGCTAATTCATTAGTCTAGATTCGTTTCAATTGTGGTATTATAATAATGTCACCAAAATAGTGAAAAGCTGATTTTCGTAACATTTTTAAATGCTCGCTATACCCGGATCCACAAAGGCTTCAATAACGGGTTGTTATCTTTAGTAAATTTATCAAAACACCTGTGATTAAAACTTATAATGGAAATAAAAAATAGGTATGTATTATGAAACCTACCGTCGTTGTCCGATGGTTCAGCACAGCGTCTGGATTCTGCGGAAAGTTGAATATATATATTTGAACGAATTAAATGAAAATATAACTGAAAATATGTGTGCAATGTGAAATAGTGATAAAAAACGAATTATGAAATGTATATATATATGTATACTTGATTGGAATACGTAGCATCATTGTTCCCCTCAATTACATAAATCCACATGATATTCCAATTATACCAACTTACCGTCGTAACGTTCGCAATCGTACCCATCATACATAGGATAGCACGTACATGTATATAAGTCGCCTTCTTGATTGCATAATCCGTTTCCACTGCAATCAGTTGATGAACAGTTTCCTACAAATATATTAATGAAAATATTCCCATTTGCTTCAAGTACTGAATTATCTTGTCGCATTTTTTCATACTACAATTATCTTCGTCTTTCGCTTTGAGCAAGGCCCCCAACAAACGATCACTGCTATCTAACGACGTGTGAGAGACTATTATTTTTGGTAAGACACGAAACTTTCCTGTTCGACACGAAATGATGGGTAAACTCTTGCTTGTAAACTCTGTAAAGTCCAACGCTTTAACGCTAGGCGGATGCACCTACATTTTATCACCATCAAGCTTACAAATGTGCTCGGTGGGAGATTAACAATCACTAGTTTCGTAAGCACAACTTTGTTCAATCACAAATATCATGAGCGTTGCGCCCAAAGTCGGATTTGCAATTCGGTTTTTGTCATGGGTATTTAATCTTTACATTTGAAATTGTTCTGCTCAAACGCGAGTATGGCAAAACGGCAGAAAATCTTGTTTCATAAATAAAAATGACCGATCCTCGTAGTTCTTAATTGTAGTCATTAACAGAAAGCAAAATTGTCAAAAACATGCAGAATTGTAGATTGACAACTTGAAATTATAAAACTAGAACTTAAATATACATTGCCACAAATCAACGAATAATTGAATTGATAACCTGACATTTACAAAGTGTAATCATTTTTATTAATTTAGGGCCAATGTGGCATCTCCTCTTGCGAAAGTATAAAGTTCGACAATATCCATCAGCGTTTCTTTGCGGTAAAGATTGGGAATTTATAAATGAGTGAATTATATTACCAAATATCAGACAGACTGACTCAAAATTTAGTGAATCCGAAGGGAAGATAAACAATTGGCTAATCCACAGAAAAATAGAATGCTGTATACCTTTTTTAAGAGAGCAATCGTGTCCGCCAAAGCCATCTTTACAAATACAATATTCTAAACCGTCCCCCATCGACATGCACGTGCCGTTATTGTGACATTCAATAAGGCATTGTTGAGTATCTGAAAACAATTTCAAAATCTCTTCAACAAATTACATTCGTTAATTGAAAGGAATACAAATTACAAATAAAAATATTAAAAGAATTTATATATCTCGTAAATAACTATTTATTTACATGAGAGATCGGGAAATAACTGTGTGTAAACAAAAAAAATTTTAGATGTAAAAATTTAAATATCCGGTCGGATACACAATTCTTTTACAAATACAAAGTTTTTTTTTCAAAACAGTGCGAAAGTATTTACATATAGTTGCAAAAACCTTGGCCGAGTGTATAATCACTAGCTATCGTCGATATATTAAGAACGTTTTGAAAAATATGAAATCCCCTTTAAATACCTATTACTTATATAATAATAAACCGCACTGCGTTGTCAGAATCTAATTTCGTCATTTTGTTTCACTATGTTTTTTCTATATGAGTAAATGTGGGCAAGATGTATTGTATATCACGAATTAACACTTTAGAATTTACCCCGACAATCTGGAACAACCCATTCCAAGAGAAAATGTTGCGTTTTATTCAGAAGATCAGCAAATCTTGGAGCATGTATTGTGTCGTTTTTGGGTAATACTTCCACAATATTAGACCAATTGCAACTTTTTTGAGTTTCGTTAAAGATAGCATACCTTGTCCAGTCTAAGACTCTACAACAAAAAGAAATATAAAAAATGGAATTTCAATATTTTAAAAGAACATAACATATTGAAATCAAGAATTTAAAATCGGAATGAGACCATATGCACAATCACCCAGAGTAAAACAATTTAGCATCATGAACCAAAGGGCACTCATATTCCATTTTTCAAATCGTCGTCAGAGTAGCCTCTCGGAGAGAAGAAAGAGTTGTAAAGGCCGTCCATATTGACAGATCAATAAAACATACATTTAAGAATAGAAGGTTTGTTGAATTTTAAAGTAGATAAAGCCTGTCGGAATAAGGACGCCTTGATCTTCGATCACATGCTTTACCAATTTGTTCAATAAAATCGTCAGATAGTCAAATTACATAATTTAATAATATACTAATTGAACATAACATATCCGAATGTTTGAACAGAAGCTTCGAGATTTTTTTTAAAATGAATGTAACTTCACCTGCACTGTTCATAATCTACAGCAACATGTAATTTCATTGAAGTTTGACGCATTATTGTGAACAAATTATCCATAAGGTTTTTTTGACAAACTGGATCTCCAATATCAAAGGTCACATTCGGATTAAGAACATCCCCGTCAGCGGTGAGGTCAGGACAAACGACATGTTCAAAAAGATTTTTCATAAATGGTGAACTCATATTGTAAATTGTGTTAACGACTGCATTCTGTTACAAAATTTTGAAAATATATTATTATTATTATGTATTTAGCTTGATAATTAGTTAAACCAAAGACTGTTCGAGTAAACAAAAGAGTAACGCACAAATACACGGAAGTCCATTTTGAGGATAAAAAAATTTCTATGGTAAATTAACCTGCCATACCTATAGAAGAATAAAATAAAAACAAAAAAAATTATTTCTAAAAACAACTTTCATCTTTACATACAAAATTGTAAAATCGATTTGTGATTTTCGGGAAAGGCAATTTTTTTGTCTCTACAATAACTGAGTTGCGACATAATTTCTAACTCATCCGTGACAAAAAAATAGAATGTTTGGCAAAATCAGTAAAATTAAAATATTCTCACATTATAAAAATGAGCGAAGAGATCGATTTCCCAAATTGTTCCTTCACATGCCAACGTGGAACAATGAGAGACAACGTCTGTAATACAACGGACGGTTTTCACCATCTTGGATCTGAACAAATAAATAGATGCATATGTTTTCTGATTAAATCTGTTGTATGTACTGCTGAAGTGGAAATTTTTAGTCAGGATAAAATTGCTATCACTGAATAATATTGTACAAATTTTCCAATACAAAATCTGTGCAATGGTCTTATCTTTTTAGAGTAACAGTTTAAAAGACTATACTTCTCGACCGTATTTGTAAACGACAAAAGATGAATAATTATCGTCTCTAAATGTAAATTTCCTAAACATGCATAATTAGCTTAATTCGATAATAAATTACTGCTGCAATTGTTATTTGTTACATGACTCCATAGGTTTGAATTTCCATTTTTCCGAATTAAATTTGCAATATACAACTTCCTCTTTATTATATTTGCAACAACGTTTCACAGAATAACGATATTTAATTTTACTTAATTCAAGAATGGATAATTTTTTGGTACTCACAGACATTCAACTTTATTTCCATTTCGGTCGATGAAAGGCAAGTTCTCATTAATGCATTCCGATGCTTTTGATAACGTCATCTTCAATGAACATGCCGGGAATAGTACGGCGTCTAGAAGTGAAATATTGAAAAATTGCATTGACAAAAAATGATCCCTTCTGTCGGAATTCCTATATGCAATCACAACCCAGCGTAGTTTGACTAAAATCTTATATGTCATTCTCTGTTTTAGAAGGTAAAAAAGCCCATCAAAATATTTGACCGAAATACAGTAGTACACTGTCAAAATGAATATTGTTGTCATGATTGGTCGATTTGCTTGGCGTTGCTGAACTAGTTTTTAATACAATTGATATGAGTTTTTCTTTTATAATTGTTATTTTTCATTCTATTGCATCATCATCTATTTTTCACACTTTTTTATATATATGATTCAACATCTCCATTTCGTCCGGATTATATGTCTAATTCTAATCTACACAAAGTGATATTTTTCAGAATTTTCGTAGCAACAAAAAAGAAATCTTATTCTCATTAATACGGTCCTATTGAGCATTAAGCATGTAACCAATCCGCAGACGGATCCCACGGTGTAAGAAATGCGAAATGAATAATAAAAATCACATGATCCCGCAAAACATTTTGATTTATTGACCCAAATAGAAAGAAATTGCATTTGATGACAGGAGTATTTTTATTTTTAATCATGATATAATTAAATTACTTTGTTTAAGCACTAATACGTGATAAATTCAAATAAATGAATACAAACCATCATCGCCGTGCGGCACAGCACAGGTTCTGGTATCTGTAAAATGTGAAACAACTTAATATGATGAAATTTGAAATTTACTTGGAATTGAACCACGGCAAACCAGAAAACCAGAAAATACTATATACCAAAACTGATAAACGTTGAATTTATTGTGGGAGTAATAGAGCCCGGTAATAAAGTAAAATTCTAGCTCCTAATATTACGGGAATCTGTATTTTAAAAAATGTAACATGACATTTCGAAGCGAAGGACATAGAACGTTTGGCGTATATAAAAAGAGAAATAAATAGTAGGCAGTATTTGTCTAATATTAGGCTACCTCCGGTCATCTCGCAGTCGTATCCGCCAAAACCAGGGAAGCACAAACAAACATAAACTTCGCCATATGGTTGGCACAGTCCCCTGCCACTGCACGAAGTACCCGAGCATTCTCCTGCAAAGTTAGAACAAGTATATACATTAGATTATTAGAAGAACCAATCGGCGCTAGAAATGTTTACATGTTGTCAAATTTGTTGGCAAGCAGGTAATATGCATGACGACAAAAAGGCCATTGCAAAGACGACAAAAAGGCCATTGTGTGTTTTTACTTCATGGGCAAAAATAGTTTTTTTTTCATGTCATATTTGAGTGACAGTTTTTCTAAAGTTTAACACGGAATGCTACTGTACATAGTTCACATTTTGATACAACTGACGAAAGAATACTTGGAACGTTATGGAACAAACGCAGTCCGAAACAGTGACTGAACTGCATGTGCGAGTTTTTGAACAATAGCCATGAAAAAATGTTTATTGGACACGAAGTGTATGTACATAATGGATTATAGTATAAGTATTTAATCAAACTACGGCACTTGGTAAATTTTCGAACCCCCAATTAATTAACTATTCGATAACTTCCCATAGGTGATTAAAGAAAACAGGAAAAATTACCTTTTCGAAGAGCGCAATCATAACCTGTGTAGTTACCCACGCAGTCACAATATTCATAGCCGTTTTCCAAGCGTTGACAGACACCGCCATTCTTGCATGAAGTGGCTTTGCACGCTAAAACTGAAGGTAAGTAAAAAAATTCATAATCGGAAAAGAATGGCCACCAAAACTTAACTGGGATTACCTTGTTTTCTTAAACGGAGAAAGTTTGTGATTTATTAAAATAACTTTTATAATTACAATATCACGTATAAATTAGTACATGGATTCTGTAAAACAGTGGCTCAAATTAAATAAAAAATATACAAATAAACCACGATTTTTATCAATAAAAATAAGTGTTGATGATTCGAAACATGGAATACTTAATTCAATCAATGGGAAATAAAATAGAATACCTCCTATCCACTACTAATCCTACACTCTAACCTGCGGTAGTAACAACTTGTTGGCCAATAACGGATCCCATAAGGGCCAATGCAACAAGAGTTGATAAGAAGAATTTCATCATGAATCTGCTTTCCATTGATACAGAATCATAAAAATTAATCAATTAAAACTGAAAAAAATGAATAATAAGAGTTTTGAAAAGAACAATCGCCATGGTAAAAGTTTTATGTCATATTGTCCGTAGTTTCTATGATGTTGCTCGCACTGTCTCGATTTTTATCTCATTCTTTGCATATACACAAGAGACTGTTTCGCAAGGAATTGAATGCACAACCTTACAATAAATTAATGTCGATGTTGAAATATCAATAAAAAACAGTACAGTGGATTAAGAACTAGCTTAAGCCTCAGCTAGCTTAATATATAAATATACCTGATATCTGATTAATGATAAATACCTTGTGTCATTTTTGATCTACTCTAGATTGGATATACTCAAATGTTCACGCTATTGCTGTAACTGCTGAACTTTAGTCAATAAATTTTTAAGCAGCTACGTTACCGTTTTGCCTGCATGCTACTTTAAGCCTTCTGCTAAGACAACTTGAAGAAAATAGTTTTTTGTCCGAAACTCTCTTATACATATATAGAGACAAACGTCTCAAGCGAACGCCCACGCATTCATTCAGTCACCCATATCTCACTTGTCTCGTGATTGTCGTTTGCTCTCCCCGTGATGATTGCGCAAAATGTCTTTTGTTCTCATTTTTTCATCATTTGCCGAATACTGTTTTCACTGATATTAAATTTCTCGTTTTCAAACACGTAAGGATTAAAGGGAGGAACTCAAAATATAGCAAGAAGAAAGGCACTTTCATCGTCAACAACTATTTAATGTGCCAACTTTGTCAAGCGTGAAACTAACCTAATATAATGGCACATTTATGGAGTTCATTTAGACATGGTTCAAATAAGAAATACATACCAAAATTATTGATAGTTTTACCTAACAAAATTAACGAGTTTTACTTTACCATACCCAAACAAATAAACTGGTTTCCTCAACCGAAATAGCAATATTATGATTAAGATACCTACGATTTTTAGATGATTTATGAATATCTGCGTTATGCTATATATATGTAAGAACTAAGTAAGTAAGGGGTGAAGCTGATTGCGCATAGTTCAAATAAAAAATGAAGTAAGAAACTACGCTTGAAAAAAAGGTAATACGATCCAGGTTGTGCAATACGTAGTAAACACAGAGAACCAGAAATTACCAGAAAAAAGTTACCAAGTATATTACTCAAAAAAGATTAAATTGCATAATATCGTTAGTAAGAACTATATTATTATATATATAATTCATCAATCATTTCCAGGGAATATATAGAACTTTTTTTAATTGCTGGGTAAATTCGGCCCATAAATTGCAAAAACTTCATGAAGGAAGAATGAAGAATAAATAAACATAGGGAGATAACAGAGCAAATTGATTCAATATTGGGATAATCTACAAGAAAGTTTTGTATCTAGTACAATTTAACTCCTTTGTACGACACAATAGTTTGGTCAGTTAAGTATATATTTAACAATTTCTATTCTATCAGCAGGAATGAATGCTTTTGTGCTTGCTACCTTTGTGAGACACAAATATTCTCGTTGGTGACCTGTTGAAACGATTCTTTTGTGTGAACAAAATCGAACAATAATCTCCATAAAGAATACTACGGAGAATCCAATATAATCTGCAAACATTAGTTTTTTAAATACCGACTTGACATAGCTAACATCGTTTTAAATCTTACCCTATTGCGATATCGTAGATGTGCCAAATTTAATACCAGACTAAATAACGAATGACGAAAGCTAAGTTCAGTCTCGGTAAATTTCAATATATTGAACTTTTTTCTGCGTTAGCATTGAAGATTATTGAGCAGGCTTAACTCATTGTATTTTATATATACGAGTATATACAAGTTCTATGTTATAGACAATTGAGAATCCTGGAACACACCACTGGAATTGTTAAAGAAAAACAAAATAAACTCTCCACAAATTAAAAACAATATGTTGACAAATGTTGCGTCAGACTCAGATAGGTATATTTAATTCAAACACAATAGAGTATAGGCAATTCCGGCATTGCATTACTAGTCAGGAATAAAGATATTTTGTGTCCGTAAACCATTCTTTTAAATCACCATGCTTGAACGAAAATATATAGCATTGTTTTTTTAGTCTCATCTCGTTTTGATATGGTTAACGACAATGTCTATTCTCTATACGGTCCACTGGCCTTGAACACACGACACTCCTCGTGATAACAACGCTATTTAATCAATTTCATTGTCGATTTTCTTGAAATTATTCAATTTATTATACCAATCACACAAAACTGAAAAATGACAAAAGCAGGTGCAAACAACAATCATTTCGGAATGTGTCATAGCAATAGCAAAAACAACGACAGAAATATAGGTGGTGACTGAGCAGTTAAAAGAAAGGGCATTCATTTTAGAATCCGGTTCATGAAAATAAATTTTAAAATTTGCTACTTGCATGAAATCTATACATTATTGGGTACACCTGAAGTATGCGCACCAAGATGTCGCATAACCTGAACTCTAACCCGGTACACCCCCTTAGTTCAGGTTGTGCGCCATCTTAATGCGCATACTTCAGGAGGCCCTTTATTGTTCAAAATGTCAATTTCCAAAACTCCACATTGAAACATATAAATAAAATAATTGTGAAATAATATATAGAACAAATATTATGCAATATATATATAGATATAAGGATATTCGTAAAGTTTACGAAGCCACATCAAGTTTAAGAGACGATGGGGTTGTCTTGTGCAGCTATTTCTGGCTTAGAAAGATGATGAATTAATAAGCAATCGTCATACTCTTTAAAACATTATCGCACAATTCTCTCGCTCTAATAAGCTTGAATTACAACCGAACAGATAGACAGCTGGTAGACGATTCAAAGTCTAGACCCGCAAAGCAAAATAAGGCCAACATCGAGTCTCACCGCTACAAAACGGTGCCTAATATCCAACACAAGTAAACGAATATGTTTCATGTCTCGCTTGGTGTAAGATTCAAGGGTAATTTCAACAAATATATTCAGATTTAATTAGTTAATTTTTGTATAACAATTTTGTATATAATTTGTTAGTTTGCAGCCCGCGTCATTAATAAATTTCAAAAAATGGCCCGCGACATATTTTGAGTTGGAGACCCCTGGTCTAAAGAATAAATACAAAAAGTCAACTCTTCTTCCTCCATCTCTGTCTGGTTTAACTTTGAAATGCCGAAAAAACTACTCATTTTCGTTAAACACTGTTCAGCAGATAAATAAACTACAAGTCTGCATCTCGCGAAATTGCGACAAGTAGTTCTATCTCCATTAGAGGTAAACACTACGTAATGGGAAGCAAACGACATGAAATGGAAAAATGAATGAATTGATTCATATACACAGCATTTAAATTAAGTAACAATAAGACATTTATAATTAATGCAATATATAAAATAATAAATCATATTTTAAGTATATCTAACGCAATTCTGTTAGTTTTCACGGCGCATTTGGCAACTCGCCACGAGAACTTATTGGGGAACGCTTCATTACACCGTTTTTCTTTATCAATTTTACACTTTCATTTTTTGGTGTTCCGCGAGGCGAGATAAAAAGTGTGGGTGTTCCGTTCGGTTGATAATTGCTCGTTATTTAAAAAAATCTACTCGCATCTGCGAAAAAAATGTTCTATTATTTTGAATTAATGCAAAAGAAATCGATTAACAATTAAACATTTTGTATTAAACCTAAATTGAGACAAAAACGATCATTAAGTCACGCTCCTATATTAATTTGGTCAGTGTTAACATTTACGGATTTCGGTTTGGCGTTAAAATTCAATATTTTTAGCTTGATATCTCATCCCTAACGTGTGGAGAAAACGTCAAGCAGGAATGCCAGGAGTGGGGTTGTTCGGGGTCTATACTAATGAAGCGAAACCATTTTGCGTGACAAAGCCTTAGCAACAAGCATGTTTTGTCTTTATTGTTAGCAACCCCCTTTTACCTAAATATTTCTTCCATGGAATTTAACTCATGCGTAAGTTTAGGTCAAATTTCGTATTTTTCGTTCTTAGGAGCTAAAATTTATAGCAGCGATGCATATTGCGTATTCTATGAAAAATGCAAACTGAAATCAGACGCGAGGCTGTAGTTCGCCAAACGTCGTCTTATCGGTTTTCCTCTCCCCTGGGATAAATATGTAAATTCTATTCTATCCTAGAAAATGTGAAGCTGAATTTCCCGTATACAAATTCAAATAATTAGACTAAAAAAATTCGTATCAGTTGTAAAATCAGTATTCATATCAATCTCGGCAACGACATGTCGTTGATAAGAATACTGATTTTACAACTGATACAGAATTTTTTTTTGTCTAATTATTTGAATTTGTATACGGGAAATTAAAACCGGTACGACGATTCAAATATATAGCGACCTGGTAAGTCTCACGTGCGATTACCAGAACGGGTGGGTCCCGGAAAAGTCAACATGATAATTGTTTCACGTGGTCTTAAATTCGGGTAATACATAGGATGTAGTGCTTCAATCTTATTACTTTTTGCAGTCATCAGGCATTGTGCTTGCTACCTTTGTTTTATTTTGTATATTTCATTACTACAAAATATATTTATTAAATCTAGACTAAGAAGAATTGTTTGTCTGAACTTGATCTGAAGAATTGTCTTCTACAGTAGCATTTGTTAATTTTTTTTCTTGTATGGCAAGATCTCAATTTGACCACGTCAGTAAAATATTCAAAACACAGATATTTTCAGTTTTCAAATCAAAATGGTAAATCCGATGAAAATTTGTGGGTGAAATAATATAGTTATTTCCAGGATTGAATGCTCGGCTGACCAAAATCTAGTGCTCGGCCAATCTCGAAGACTGGATAAAAAAAAAATTTGGATTTGTTTTGCAGCTAAATAGCAATACGATCATTTAATATTATGTATTCTTATTGCGTTAGTTGGTTTCATGTTGCGCTATATAACCAATTTAACACGAGAAAAAGATAAAATATCATGAAACGTTTGATTTTGAGCGCGTTTGCATTTAAATTAAACCTGTGAAACGGATTATTTTGTTAGTTGTCCAAATATTAAACAACTATTTTATGTGTTTCGCGTTGCCCCGTAAACCAGCACCGCCCAAAAGTCCATTCTTCCTTTGTGCCTCGGATTTTTTTCTTACGATGGATAAAAGAATTTATTTCGTATTGGTCATAAGACAGTGACGATTTCAACACATTATCATGTTTGTTATTGGTATCAATAGGCAGCAATTCTTGCCTTTTGTGCTATCAGGGTGTGTATTTGTTTGCATGGGATACCGTAACCCTTCTCCTTACGCACGATTTGTTTTCAATAGGTGCAGATTAGGACAATTTTCACGCCTTGCAATCTCACCATTTTGTAATATTTATATAACCTATTCGAAATTCAATCTAAATAACGCTTTTTCATGAGGCCTTACTTTGTTACAAACAATGAAAACGTTCCAAACTTTTCAAAAATACTGTTTTTTACCAATGTCGAAAACGACAAGAATTTTGCTGTTTATAAAAGCAGAGCAAAAACCGCACACGCGAATACGTCACCTTCGTCAAATATATTATTATAAGCCCGAGCTTACGCTTACTCCTGCTTTGGTAACATAAAACTCAAAAATTTAAGGTTTTTGTCTAAAATACTAGTTTATGACAGTTGTATTCAAAAATTAGCTGTTCTTAACAATTTATCATACAAATTGCTTTTATACTTTACATTATTGCTAGCACTGATTCCATTATTATTTTATTCAAATCTTATATTTCATCGCACATTGTAGTTTGTTGTGTAATCGTGTTTTTAGTATTAACCTTTAAAAAGTTTAGTTCAGCATAATTTAACGTCGTTTTATTAGTTTCTCGGAATCATCACGTGCATGTCGGCAAACACTTCAAATCGGTGGTGTGTAAAGGTGGATCGCCGCTCCAAGTATTTTGCTTCGTGCGATCTAAATGAGGTAAGAAATCACGAGACACGAAACTAAGGTGAATTTGCAAAAATGCAGTGACGCGAAACTGGTTCACGACGAGGTCTGGTTTCTTATTAGGCAAGTCAACTTTAACGATCATATAATTTTAATAATAATAAATATGGATAATAATGAGTATTCACGACGCGTAAGGTTTTTCTTTACCCCAAACAAGCACAACATTTCACAATATATCATCTCCTGAAACCTCGGATATGTTTATTCAATACAGGCAGAATATTTTCGGCTTTAGGTATCTGCTAAAAACCTACTGTATACACAGGACTTTTTGAACTGTTAATTCTAACTATATTTGAAACTTCATTTGAACATTGCGTGTATATCTACATAAAAATACTGGACAATATTATCTGTAACACGTAGTATGGTAAACTCGCAGTGTCTACTTTCACTTTATCAAAAGTAAAAGTCTTTATTACTCTGGTGTACACATTTCACTAAATCCAGTAGGCCATACACGTATTTAGAATTTAATATACAAATGTAAAAAAAAGTGTGAACTGATGATATCGAAATTCAGTACAAAGTATATAGAGACAGTGAACTATTCATTTGAATCTTGTTGATGCTTAATTAAAATTCGCGGGTGATAATAAAGTTCTAGGAGGGTTTGACGAAAGGTTATACTTCCGGGTTAAGTTTATTTTTGAGCGTTTTACCCCAGAATTCGACATGGAGACTAAAGCCAGGCTTTTCCAGGATCCTTTCGCTAACACTTTACAAAACAAAATATGCAACAAAATTTAATATTCAACCTCCTAAATAAAAAGATGCAATATGCTGTTTCACTGTTCATCAATTTCATGAGTTGCGAATGAAGTTCGTTACCGTGTAAACATTTATGATACTATATTCTCAATCATTGTTGAATTTTCTTTTTGTTGAGATCATAAGCAACCGAAAAATACTCTGCGTGAAATTGTTCATAATAGGATAAAATAGCACAACGCATGAATGATTTGACAAACAAATTTAATGTCGTAATATTCTCAGGAATGTTATTTGGTATGAATAAAAATATATTAGCTTTCTTTTACCATTAAAGTCAGGGTTAGGGTTGCCTCAGTAGCAAATTCACGAAAATTCGCCAAATTTCTAACGATACTATATCTGGAGACATTTGATTAAAATTTTAATTATAAATCTGACATAACGAATTGCTTGATATACGATATGCTGAACCCAAATCAACGAAATACATCATATATTGAAAGAGTACTGTAGCAGATATATTTGCGTCAATTTTTATGTTATTTCAGTTCAGTTCAATTTTTTTTTTATCTATAATCGTTATTCTTTTTTTTCAGGGGTCGATTCTCAAGTCTGCAATGACAGACAAAGTACATGAACTTTGTGCAAATTCAATAGTGTAAAATTCTCCTATTGCATAATTGTACTTAGTTAATACTAAATATATATATTCCCAATCTCTCTTTTGCACAGTGTTTTATTCTCGGAGCAGGTGCATAGGAATTTAAAATTGGTAAACTATTATTTACGTACAAACAAAACGTAGGACTTTATAAACATAAAGCTCGGCGTGACTATCGTAATATAAAATCCGCAAACAGTGCATTGCATGTTCATATAAACAGTAACTCTAATAAATGGGCATGACGATATTGTCTGCCACAACTTGAACAATTTATCGAGTTCGTTAGTTACTTGGATTATTTTTTACTTCGGATGAAACAACATCGTCATTTATCATTATCTTTAAGTAAAAAAAAATGGCGCTAAATGAAACCATGCAGCATGCGGTGTGACATCATGCGGAATTAACAACAGCAACATTTCTTTTTGTAGTGCAATGCTTCCATCTCTCGGCCCATCTGACAAACAACGCAGCAAGAACAAAACGTGGAAAGACAAATATCATCACATATAGATCCCTGGAATAAATAATTTCATTAAAATTATGGGTTGAAAAGAAAATACAAAAATGTCCATTTTAATAAGCACAAATGGTTCGTTGATGGCAAACATTGAATCATTGCTTCACTGAGGTCGCTGAATTCACATATGTATATATTATATATGTGATTTGTGGCGGCCTCTGATTGACTACAGTCACCTATTATTCACTATTCAGAAGTGGTAAAATGAAAGTTTCAAGTTTGTCTTGTAACAGTAAAAATCATTCTTTTTCATACGATGAGCTTAAAAATCGAAAGTGTCAACCAGTCGACTCAGGTTCCATTACTTTTTCGCTAGGCACCAGACCATTTGATGCAATCCTAATAATTCGTTTGTGTTAAAATAAAAAGGGATGAAATATATATGCTTAGTAACAATACGTACAGTTATATTATGTTGTATTCTCAATTTTGTTCGAAGAGGAATCAATCCAGCCATACAGCATATTCCAGTCATACAACTTTCATCTAACTTCGAACCGATTGCTCCAAGGTAACAACAAGTACAGAATGTTCCGCAACAACCTATAGGATAAGAATGTTGAGTTAAACAGAGAGGTATTATTCTTTTGTTAGATAACTTACTTGGATTTCAACTCTAGCCAGGATATATATCACTCACAAAAATTACAATTATACAATTTACATGATAGCAGATATAAAATATACTCACATGTGTGACAGTCCATACAACAATTGCAGATTCCGCTGCTGAACGGTCGAGGACCGTACGTTATATATCGTGTTATGTCCTGATTGGGTGGTATTGTAAGTGGCAAGCCGACTGATGGCTGCTGTGTCACAGCCACCGGTGGAATACCATTAACTGTAACAATTGCTGGTTGAGAAGTTACTGGCGCGTTCAATATTACTGTGGCAGAGTGAACGTGATTGAAATTGCTCATATCTGCAGGTGGATTAGAAACGACCATCGGGAGAGGCGTTTGACGATTAAGTCGAGGCGGTGGTGGTCGAGGAGGCGGTGACGTTGGCCTGTTAGAAATCGTTTCAAATGCTGTTTCTTGGTAAGATGGTGGTTCTACATCTTCAAGCATGTTAGTAGCTGAAGTGTGTGAAGTCGATGGTTCTTCTCCAAAAGATGACTGGACTTGTCCGTCAGTTGGTGGAAAACCGTAATGACCTGGGCTTCCATTGTACATTTCAACGAGAGCTGCTTTTTCATTTGCCATCTTACATCTATGATTAAAAACGCTATGGAAAAATAAAATTTATACCAAATATCTGATTGTCAAATTAGCTCAGTAGCTTTTAAAAGTTGGGTTGTGGATTCACTCCTTTCTATAGTGTATTTTGTGTCTCACCGCAAATCTTTAACTCTCCATTTTCAAACTCGACGTAGGTTTTTCTGAAATTGACATCAGAAATGAACGTTGATGTAGAATATATTTATTCTATACAGATTAAAATTCAGTAAAACTTGCGAAGAAGATGTATCTACCAATTCTCAATATGGATGCGTTACTGACTATTTTCAATGCCGTACCGAACGTGTGAAACTGAAATGAATCTCTCGATCACCCATTTCTCCGAATACAATGATAAAGAGCATTCAAGTCACAAGACAAGATCATAAAAAGCTTTATCGGCAAGCATGAAACATAGATAAGTCTCACATCGGACATATTTGTTTGTTGTGTGCATGCATGTTAATCATTGACTATAGGCACGAATACGCACAATATCTCAGTTTGGTGGTTGATGTAATGAGTTTGTTTGTTTAATTTGCTAGTTCCAAAACGACTACGTCGAAATCTCGTGATAGGATATATATTTTTACTCGCTCAAACACAACAGATGATATTTAATGTGAAGATATGTATATAGGTTTTGTAAATAGTTGTTCAAATATATAGAGCCAATTGTTCAAATCTTTAAGCATGTCTCTAACAATTATAACATATATATTTTTTTTTTCATCGTTTTTAGACAAAAAGTTTTTTCGTCACCATCAAGTCGCAAACTTATTAGTGGAGACTTTAATGAAATAATACAAGTTGGTCTGACGATTCAGAAATCAATATTGGACCGGTTAAAAATTTTCGTTCTCTAGTATCATCTTAAACCTTTATAAATGTTAGTAGACAGGAATCAAAATGTGTTGCAATAGTTAAACATAACCGAGTACCGCTTATAAACACTTTTAAATTTATGGAAAAATGCTATTCAAACGTTTACGAATGACGACATTAACAGTCTTGAAATTACGACGAAATTATATTTAAACATTTAACCACTAACGCTTTTTCAATAGTATTGTAGTAACGGTGAAATGCCATTTGAACGTTCAATTGAAGTTACGGCGAAATGCTGTTTAAAAGTTTAATAACTGACACTTTTTATTAGTACTGTTAAAATGAGTCAGTCGTTGGATGTTTTGAATAGCATTTCACTATAACTTCAATACTGTTGAAAAGCGCCAATCGTTAAACGTTTAAATAGCATTTTACCGTTAATATTCGATTTTACAAGATATTAGTTTGGGTTACAATGCCAGACTTTCTCTATTTAGTCGTGCTCTATTATGATTTGTAGGCGTCCAATAATGCTAGGATGTGGTGCCAGGGTTGAATGAACCATTAAGCAAATTAGGACGTGCTTAGGGCACCAAGGAAAAGAGAGCACTACACAAGTTTCCATAGTTGAGTTTTCGATAGTGTCTCAGTGTTTATTGGTGCAGTAACCTTAGTATTGATCCGGTTAAAATAAATTTGGCTTGTTTTTCTTTCTCAAGTATCATCTTAAACCTATCTATAATTTTTTTGTAGGTATGAATACTATTTAGAAATAGTATCATGTAAACTTTTCATAATTTGGCCTTCAATCATTAATGTATAAGTATAAGTTTATTTCGACCCTATAATCAGCATAACAATAAAATAATTGGTAGAAAAAATAAATAAAAACTGATTATGAAATCAGGAGAGCAAACAAAACCTTAACTAAGGTTTAAAACGTACAGAATGTATACAAGATGGAAGGTTTTGCCAAGAAGAAGTGGTACGTGTTCACTCACCTAAAATACTGGAAATATTCCACACACGCTCACACACACCCACACACACAACCATACAGAAGTTATAAATTACATACGGGTAGTTAAAAAAAATAAATAAAAATCACTTGCCACACCATATTAATGAATTTATAACGTTTGCCACTGCCGAATTGATAGATTTTATAAATGGGAGTGAACAGTAGAGATAAACTATTATGAAAAATATATTGCCAAGCTGATTATAGTTGGAGTCAATTGCCAAAAATGCCCAACCAAAGTTACCAGAATTGGGTGCATGAAGAGGTGGGCTAGAAACCACTTCATTCCCCAAACTAGAGCCTATTATTGCCAAATTATAGTCCAATTGTAATAAGTATTCAAAGGTACAAGTAACAGTATAAGTAATTATAATTAAATAAGGTAGGACAACGGGGAATAGGAATATGTTGGTTACCAAGGTTATAAGAAAGGTTTTTTTCAATCTTAGATATTGACTTCTGCAAGGACAAAGGAATTAGGATTGTTATTTCATAGGATCATTTCTTCATTTACTTAATTAATGTAACGCAACTGTTGTCAAATCAAATTTATCATAGATGAGACATCAGACTGCCAATTTTGATGATGTAGACACCCTTTATATTCAATAAGCTAGCCATTGAATTGGTCATCACAAACGACCTGAAAAACAGAAAATAAATCTGCGAGTAGAATATACAAGGGTTTCATATTAGGAAATAACACTCACTAGTCACTACCCTACACTTTTGTTGAGAAGAAATTATTATTTTGAGTAAATATTGATCATTAGGTATTTATCTTTAAAACGCAAGTTGAAAGACCTGAGTTGAATTCTGGTTGGAACACAGGGTAAATAACCTTCGCAAACCATGCAAGAACTCTCAAACCACACTAACCATTTGTATGTCGGCCTTCACGTTAATTTCACAGCAGAACCTTAACCTGTGATAAAATTTTGTATACACACAAAACAAATTATGGAATACCACAGCAAATTAAAATGAAGGGGAGAATCCAATATATCTCGACTGGTCGATTATCTATCTAATTACCTACAAAAACTATATGTCAGTGTGGTTCTGAAATAATAACTTTTAATATTTGGATATCAAGTGGGACTTGACTTTATTCTGAAACAATTTTTTGGATTTCAATGTCTTTAAATTTAAGGGGAGGGAATTCCACAGCTTGGGCCCAGTATAACACAGGGCATGCTGGCTCACAGATTTACTCATAAAAGGTATGAAAAAATCAGAACTACTTCTTCGATTGGAAATAATTTTAGTTAGTATGTCGTCAAAGCAGTTTGGCAAGGAGTTGTTATGAAAATCATAGACTAACGATAATACTTCAAATTTCATTATATCTTCGACTTTGAGTATAGCGTTTTATAGAAATGATTTACACTTTCATGTTTACTTTTCCTGAAGACAATTCTTAAAAAATTATTACAAGTACTTTGCAATTTTGAGACAAGTGTTTTATTACCGTGGAGCCAGACTGAGCAACAATATCGGATATGACTGAGTAGTAATGATTGAAACATTGCTAATAAAGCTGATTGATTAACGCACTGGGGTACTTTGGCAGTAACTGCCAAGTTACTTTTTGTTTTACCAATAACATACGATATTTGAGATTTCCAAGACAGATTTTCATCAAAGATAACTCCTAGAAATTTTATTTTTTCACTCTTTCAATTTCATTGCCATTGAGCAGTAGTGGCTTTGTACAACTCACACTTCTATGCTTGCTTGGATGGAATAATACAAATTCAGTTTTTTTAGCATTAAGAGATAATTTATTAACTAACATCCCGCTATGGATGTTGGTTAGTTCTTGGTTTGCAACTGTGAATAGATCTTCAAGGATTTTCCCATTAAGAATCAAGTCAGTGTCATCAGCAAACATGATTGACTCGGAGGATTTCAGACATGTGGACATGTCATTAATGTAAGCTAGAAAAAAATAATGGGCCAATGATGAATATGGAAACTTACATAATCAATTGCAGATATTATGACTTTTGATATTTATGGCATCAAAGTCTTAAGTGCTTAGGCTCCTTAAGGCCACAATCCAGTCCTGGTTAAATGGGCATTAAAAAATCAGACTTTGTAGAGTTCAAAAGGATTTCCTAAACTACCTTTAAACGCACTAAATTACGACCACCACTATCAATGGAGTTGTTTGATCATGTTCATGTACTAAATTTAAACGATATAAGCCAGGGGTGGGCAACTTGGCACGCGAGCCCATTTATTCGGCACGCGAGTGAGGCTTCAGAAACGAGATCATTCTACTTCACAAGAATTTTAAGACTCTTATCTGATGAAACTCTGTGTCCGCTTATTCATAGTTGTTTGTTAGCAATCCGTTATTAGGTTAAACTCTTTTGGTCCTTTCATGACATATATTCCAGTTCTCAAGTATGATTTAAACGAGGATAATGAAAATTTTGACTTTTTCTACGCACCGCAGGTACAAATCCGCAAAAAAAAATAATTTACACCGGGCGGGTATTCAAGCACCGGCCCTTATTTATTTTTATGTGCTGTTCACACGGGCGGCTATTCAAACGGGCCCTTAATCAAGACCGGGCGTTAAAACGAGCCTTTACGGTAGCTACAAAAAAATGTAGTATGACGTCACAACTGAGTGAGCTCTCGACAATTTTGGTCGGCACGCGGATAAATTTTGTCAATAAATGTAGTCGATTTTGGCACGCGAGCCAAAAAAGGTTGCCCGCGCCGGATATAAGCCTTGTTTAACTGGAATAACAAAAGTTTCGTCTTGTAATTCTACTCCTAACTCTTAAAAAATTCTGACTCCGATCTCAGCTCAACAGTTTCTGATGTTTTTTTTTATTCTGCACGGATTAATGTATCAACACAAAACTTATAAATAAAACATATATTACAAAAGTCGTACAGTGAAGATACTGAAAAATACGAGAGTTACAAAATTTTGACATCATAAAAACATTAGGGCGGTAACACAAGCTTCGTTCTGTTTTGATGACAGAAGTCCGGGAGACTCCGACGTAACATAGCTCCGGATCAGCGTGGGCGGGAAATTCGGATTCCATTGTTTTGATTTTAAACAGAGACATTTAATTTTAACCATGAACATTTCGGTACCGGTAACAGAATCAAGTAGGTTTGAACAATATTGAATGTTAAATAAATATAATTGGAAATACTTGTTTTTACATGCTTTATCTTAAAAATAATTGTAATCGTATAAATGATGATTATGAAAAAAATGGAATTATGGAAAAAATGAACGGTGATGAATTCTTCCTTGGAACAACCATGAATAACATGTACCGGTACCGTATAACTTATTACTGTATTAATAATGTACCGGTACTGTTGGAAATTCTTTTTGATATTATTTTATTTGTTATTTGTCATTAAAAAAAAATAAATATAACAGTTTGGATGATATTGTTTTATGGTGGCCGATATAACTAGGCTTATCATATACCGGTGCCATATCTGAAGCAAAAAATGAAAAAACCTTCGCGGTGCGGTTTGGACGTGCCAACCTTGGTTTCATTCCGGAGACTTAGTAATAGTTTTCCATACCATTATGCGTAGATCAAGGGGCATCAAAATTAGCAGTAAATTCTATCAAAATATCCTTTTAGTCTTTGCTCCAAATACTGAAATAGACTATACCTGTATACCGGTACCGGTACGGTACCCATTCGTTCACCTGGTTAGAAACTTGCATTTTGTTTATCGGAGCTAGCAAACGACAGTAGGTACAGTGCAGTTGGGTCTTTGATTGACGTATGGATCTAGTGCAAATTTTATATCATAGCTACTGCAGTACTGTAGCTATGACATAACAATTTTTTTCATTATCTGAACTTGTGACAGTGTGAAGTGAGACGCAAATCAGTGGTAAATTGGCTGCCACCGTTAAAAAACAGTTTTGTAATTGTATCGAAGAGAAAAATTACTTATAGCCTAACTGGAATTTGATAGCCTTATATTCCAGCAGACATTGTATCAGGCCTATTCCTGTATCAGTGTATTTTAATTATTCAAGACAAATGTCACAGTATTGATGCAGTGGTGAACTAAATGCCAATTACTGAATTAGCTAATTAGCCTACAATCAACATTTTGATATATCTTGGTGGCAATGCGAAAAGGTCATGCATTAGTTCATTGATTTCATAGTAAAGAATCTTGGTTGAATTTCGCTAAATAAAATTGTACTGTACCTGACAGGATCCCAATCAGCTTATTCTGCCAATGCTCTCTTTTTTTAGAACTCAATTTCAACAGTGCAATGTCAGCCTGATCTGTGATATTCAAGCTGCGACTGTACAGAGCCATTCATACACACTGCTTCATTTATATTAGCAGAGCTGTCTAAAATACAAAACATGAGTGAAAATATATTGCAGACACCTGTGATGCGGTTCAAGAAAAAACAGGTTGGAGCGGAATGCCAATCTCCTTGTTTAAATATGCCTGCATCACCCTTGCTACAAAGATTGGGATATGGCACAGGTTCAAGTTTTAGTTATTATAATCTCTTGACTAATTGATGTTTCTCAAGGCCTTTCTCATGGTGATAAAGCTTCAAACCTTTGAATTATGCATTCTTTCTGCTGATTTTTCCCAACTCCGAATATGTTTAGAGCAGTTTGTTTTGATCAACGCTCTCACTCCTTTGTATCTGTTTCCCTCTTTTGTCAATGCCATGTTTAGTTTTCGGCTTCCACTGCTTTTGATAACAGTATGGGAATGAAATGTTAACTAGTGCTTAAGTTGTGAGGTGTTCTTATATTATAATATCCCGTTTTGAAGGCGTCAGTGTTTATCTTCTGGAACGATCACCACGGCAAGGCATGCATCGGTCACCATGGGCGGTGAAAAAAGTTAACAAATCAAAACAGAAAAATAAAGCAAATCTTTTTGCCAATCGGTGAGTAGCATAGGAATAATAGCATGTAATCTCACATGTTCAGATTTTTTCTTAATGACTTTCTTTGATAAATTTCAAAACATGATTATCTCTCTTATGCATGCAGTTCACTTGTTTCTTTTGCATTTGGATTAGCTATGAAAATACTTATCTAATCAAGGTTAAAAGAAGAAGCTAACATATTGAAATCGATTGACCACAAAAATATTGTTGGATTCCGGGCATTATCCAAAGCAAAAGATGGAATGTTGTGTTTGGCTCTTGAAGATGCAGAAAAATGTTTATTCTCTATCTTGGAGGAGAGAATGGAGGAACATTTAGGTTTGCTCTTTGGTATAATATTGCTGTTAGGGTACATTTTCTAAGCAGTTTGTGGAGTTCAATGTAGCATGTAGATTAGGGGTCAAAATCCTAATGCAAAACAGGATTCTATATTACACAATTCTTTTATTGTCTATATCGATATTTTAGTGTAGACTGAGGTGTCAATACTGGAGAATTGTGATCACATTTTCACTAGTCGCCATGATAAAAATATTTCATTTCTTCATAAACTAGCATTAATAATTCAAATTTACACCTAATGGACTGCCTTGTCGTATGAAAGACCACAATTCGTTTGTTTTTGTCTTATTTGGTTAACAGTGTAAATGTGGCTTGGAAATAATTAACGAGTTGGCTATTCTGGATGCAATCACTAAATTTTCGTTATGGTTATTGGTTAGTGAGATTAACAATCATTGTACCGTGAATGGGGCTTTGTATTTACTTCATAGAAGGTCTGGTAAGATTACCCATTAGATGGTCTATTCACAAAAATTAATCTGATGCATGTTATAGAAATGGAATAGATGGAATAGATCTTTTTTTGTGTTTAGGACCTCTTGCACCACGTTACATATTGAAGGTTTCATCGGATATTGCCTCTGCTTTATCATATTTACACACTGAAAAACAACTTCTACATGCTGATATCAAGAGTGCTAATGTACTTGTAAAGGTATCCTTAACGCAATTGATTTTAAGTCCAGCCGATTCAGGGGATTGTTTTCTATTCTAAGTTTCAGCCTTGATCATAATTGCCTATCCAATTTATTACAATCTGTTCGTCTCAGGCCATCTATGTCACCCAACTTCATACGACGCCATCATATTACTCTTCCATATGCTATTTTGTAAAAATATTTTCAGGGTGAATACGATATAATAAAGTTATGTGATTTTGGTGTTGCAATAAAACTTGATGAAAATCTTCAAGCTCTGTCCTCACTTTATGTTGGGACTGAATCATGGTCAGCTAAGGAAGCCATTAGAGGTGAGTTTATCTATGTGTAGGGATATATTGTAGTTAACAATAAAATATATCTTGGGTAAATTATTACTTGTTCAAACGCCCACAGATTATATTAATGATATCATCCTGGCGGTTTGTACATCATGTTAAGCTTTAGCAACACGACTACCATCGCACACCTAATTACCCCGTTCAGGCTCCGCACACCTAATTACCCTGTTCAGGCTCACAGGTTTGAATCCTGGCAACAGCCATGTGATCAATTCGTTTTATCCTCTTTACTCAGGGATAAATATGAAAATCTCCTCAATTCAGATGTGTGTATTTTCTCATGAGTGAAAGATTCTGGCATTGACTTGTAGACTTATTTAATTATTTTCATTAATGAAATTCTAGATTGCTACATTGGCAATTGCTCACTCATGTATCTATTACTAGTTTTAACGGTAGCATATCCATTAGATTCTTTATTTACATAATAATCCAGGCTATGAATCTTGAATATCAATCTATGATCATGATCTAACAGCTAATTAATTCTCTTCTATGTTTCAGGCAAATATGTATCTGACAGAAGTGATATTTATTCATATGGACTTGTTATTTATGAAATGTTATCACTCAACATTCCGCATTTTGATATTTTTCCAATTGAGGATGATTTTCCAACAGAAGCTGAATATGAAAAAGCATTTGAAGAAGCTGAAAAGATTTATCCTTCATTTCTTGGTATGTTTGACTTTGAGAATAGTAGCCATGTTAATGTTTTTATGGTGATCAAAATGTGACATATTACTATCAATACCATGTCCATGACTATAAAGTTTTTTTTTTTACATTTCATGTTTGTGTTTTTGCAATATACATAAAAAACGTGGTAATTTCTGAAAAGTGCAGAACCAATATAAATTGGATAGGGAGAAGGATCTGGTCTTTGGATGTAGATATTTTTCCACTTTCTTCTCCTACCCTGCTACTAATGTTAGATATGTTGTTGGATGATAAAATCAAGTTTTATATTATTTAACCTTAGATTCGTAGTCAAAACATTTGATTTCTACCTCTGCTCATTTAAATTACCAGTAATAGACCCGTTATTAAATATTGCCCTTCCTCAATATTTTGAGTATTCTTAATATCAAGACTGTTGTAATTTTGTTCGGATTATTTGTTATCTGCTAATCCTTTTTGCATATTACATTAAAGGTACCAGGCCGCATCTACCACCAACAGATTTCGGCGAAAGCTACCAAGATCCTATTACATTATTCTATGTTTGCACTGATGAAGATCCTGACAAGCGCCCTTCTGCTAAGCAAATAGTGTCCAGTTTACTTTCGTCCACACAAATGGAGGACTTGCAATGCAAGTTGAATTTTGAAGATTGAAAATGGTTGTTAGGTGGGGTCCTTTCTTTCATCATGATCATACTTTTTGAAAAATAAGCAATCATAGATACTGTTTCGTTTTTTGTGCCGATGTATATTTTTCTTAAATATTTTGTCTGATTTTCTGTAGAAGCTCCACTTAGTGTTTATTCTTTTGTCTATCGGTTAACCGTAGCAACAGGTAAATGCCCATGGTACGCATGTTGACATAGGTGCTGTTTGTGTGAGAGTAACTTTACATATGTGGATCGCGCTTGTCGAAGGCCGCGACGCCATCAAGGCTCAAACGATAGAAGATTCACAATTCAACGTCTCGAATATTTCCTGTAAAACTTCTGCCTTAGCATCGTGTAGTTCACATGAACTGGGAATACCTGAATTAATTTCCAGGTCTCTAAAATCACAATTGCATATTAGATAGAACCTTATGTGTAACTTTTTCTAGTACTCTTGTATGCTATTGTTTTTTTTTACTGACTTGATAAATAAAAATAACATAATCTCTTTCCACGAAATATCAAGTATATTAATGAATCCCATGCTTATCCGAGTTTATGCAGTCTGTAATTCAGACTCCCAACGTTTAAAAAATAAAAACATTCCAATCCACGGTGCTGACTGACGAAGAAGCAGTTTTGAAACATAATGCAATGCTGTCCTAAATTCTTGCAACTTGGAGATTTTTTCCAACTCGGTTGTTGTCAGCATCATGAGAATTTTACTTTAATTGACCTTTTCATTAAATTTTTGGCACGTTAAGATGTTACCTAATTTCCTGGCTAGTGGATAAGGGAATTGAAAGGTATTAGAAATAGCTTTTTTATTATGTATTTGCGCGGCGGTGGGGCTCAACGGGCTAAGCGTTAGGAATACGATGTTCGCAGGTTCGAATCCCATGCAGGGATGGTTATGTGCGAGAGGATTGCTGGACTCCTCGCCTTCGTTGGGTGGTTCACGTAACCGCTGGTCGGTTACGGCTTTCTCCACCACCAAGTCCATGCTTCCGAAAAAACAAACAATATAACTAATCCCATACCCGACTTGGAATGGTAACCGGACAAGAGGCCGTGGTTCGCCATATGGATAAGCCGTCTTATCGACTTTCCTCTCCCCCGGGATAAATATGTATAAAATATAATCCTATGTCTAGTCTGAAAATACCAGATTTTAAAATTGGCATTTCCCGATAAGAACTTGGACCGCGATCCATCATACGATTGCTGGTATGTTTGTTAAAATGTGGATGTGGATTTTGCGCTAGAAGCCTATTACCTCAAATGTTTCCGTGAGTCACATAACCTGGAAAAGCTAGGACTGTACCGTCACGGCACCTAACACAGATGCTAGTAGGTTAGTTTTACCCTCCGTGTCCACATGTTTGAGCATAGCTTATCTTATCGGCTGCTCGAAAAATGGTAAAAATCAACTTTGTATAAAACTTTTAGAGATAACTCTTCCTCTTTCACACATTTGTATTTCCAGTTTGTTAGAGTAGATTCTATGTTAAAAATTTTCTTTCTTAACTTAAACATCTTTTACTTTCCATAGTCCCGATTTTAGGCACAAAAAATAAAAGATTTTCTGGGGCTGGAGTCTGAAACAAATAACTGGCTAACTAATCCTATACCCGACATGGACTGGTAAGCGGACGAGAGGCCGTGGTTTGCCATGTGATTAAGCAGCTACCCTAGCGGCTTTCCTCTCCACCTGGGAGAAATATGTAAATCCTTTCCCGAAGGTTATATATCTTTCGCTGACACCATCCTCTGGCGTGAAAGGCCTGCGCCTGGCCACGGAAGAGAGGCAGCTGTCTTCGAGACAATACAAAACGTGCCGGTAAACTATGAAGTGGAAGACTCTCGGGCTAATTGTTTCATAGACAAAAATGCAATCTGACGGCCATGAAATTTGCAACAGAGTTATTTACACCTTGCAAATTAGTATATATAATATATATTCTGAATACGTCATAGTGTGAGTAAAGTTGCATATAGGAAAATAAAATACACAACATGTTTTGTTAGCATTTAAAAATGATGAGAAAGTAGTTGACATGTATACACAAAGAGGACTCTTGTCGGGGGCACCAACCATAAATTCTCTGGAATCAAGTCGCAACAGTGTGACGAGGTACTGCAACCAAGTCAAAATCAACTTTGGGACGCACAGAAAATTCAAACATCATCTTCAGAGGAGGTTTCTGAAAACAGATAAGGTATCCGATATACTGGACGTCGGGTATTATTTTATATATATATCGCAGAAATAGCAAAGCCAGGCTTAATTCCATGATGCCAACGCAACAATCTTTTGCATTTCATTAAGCTTACCGGTGTGTCCTCAGCAGGCTTGAATGTGAATATATGCACAAGTTTTGCTAGAGACATCTTAACTTCCATCAACGCAAATCTCATTCCAATACAATTACGTGGTCCTGCCCCAAACGGCTGATAAACCATTGGGTCAATTTGGCTCATGTCCCGCATCCTGAAATGATTTATTACAAAAATTATAATACTGTATATATATTCTACCAAAGTTTGAAAATCTTTGATGATGAATCGCAATGTTTAAAAGACAATCAGTTTCAATAAACACCACACAAAGTATGTCTCAAATATTTTCGGATGAACGATTTGATTTGTAAAAATGTATATGAGATCCTCTTAGTAATAATAAATACGGTTCTGTTTTGAAGATGAATAAATTACCTTTCGGGTTTAAATTCATAAGGCTCATCCCAATATTCAGGATCGTGTGCCAGTCCATATGATGGAATACATATCATCATTCCTTCTGGAATTGTTAAACCGTTGATAGTGATTTCTTTTTCACAATATCGGGTATTCCTGTACAGAAATGTTGCAATTGATTCAAACTATAAAAAGGTTTGAGATAGATTTTATATTTTTCTGCTTCAAAGTTCATTTGTATATTGATATCGAAAATTCGTGCCGTATGAATCTTACAGTGCACACATATTATTTATTGAAGCAATTAGATTTTGAAGGAAACTATTTTTATTATGAATAAAGTATGTATACTTTAGAATCGGCATGTAGAGTCTGAGGGTTTCGTTGATGCACATGTCCAACAACTTCAATTTCGTCACACTTTCGTAATCGAATTTGCCCTGTGTAATAATATTTACCTATATTAATATATATATATATATTGAAGATAGATGTAAAGCTGGCTAATTTTACAGTGTGAAATTTTTCAATCGCTGGTGTGCCTGATCTAAAAAGATAATAAGCAGCAAAATTCAGGAACGACACAGTTTGCTACAAAGGAAAAACGCCCATAGGGTCGTTAAGGTTACTTTTGTCATATAGGTTTTCTATTGTTTTCAGACTATCGCCAGATGTTTTCTTCATATTTGAAAACAATTTCTTATGAAACGATTACATCATTTAACGCGGTGGTTACCGATCGGTCTTACATGACCCCCTAAAGGTCCACTGGTTGGTGGATTTCAGTGGGCCATGAGCTATATGCATAAATAATATGAAATCAAAATAGTTGTATTAAATAAAACTACACGTTATTGTGGTCCACCTTATGTAGATAGCAAATCAAGTATGTGTTTATATACAGAGCTACGGGGTAACGCGAGATCTTCACTCCAAAATATTAGGTATTACCGAAGTATGTGAACCAAGTACACCGGAACGTAGTATGTGTACCAGGTTAGGGTTAGGCCATAATTTCAGGTACAAATACTACGGAGTCACTTGGCTAGTCCCCGAACTCGTGATAGAACAAAAATGAATAAAATTAGGGCCTAACCCTAACCTACTATACAAATACTACGTTCCGGTGTCCGCCATATTAGTTCACATACTTCGCGCGTACCGAAAATTGTCGTCATTAGAGTAACAGTAATTTACGACACAACCAGAGCAAGTATCACCATCCCGTTTAAATGTGGTGTCAATGTACAGATTTGAAGCATTGTTTCTGCTTCCACGACCTTCAAGCTGATCAACAAAAGAGCCCATAGCGTATATTCTTATCTTGGGTATGAGACTGAGTTGTGTTGTACAAATGCTATAAAGTTTTATTTCATTTTATGCACAATTGACATACTATTCGCAAGCAATTGTTGACTCTCACATTTATTTGCTTTTGTGTATGCGAAGTGGTCAGTTTTATTTGAACAAAATGTTTGTTCGTGGTGCAAATACAGAGGAAAAACCGTTTTTGTGATGTCAAATAGGCGGTTGTTATAGATTACGTTGGCTCAGCTATATTCACCTCAACTTTCATCATTTCATCGATTTCCTCTTGAACTTTGACCTGTATTTCCGGGTGTTGAGCTAAATTATAAGCTGTCCAGCTCATTGTATTCCCAGTGTTTTCGTAACCAGCCAAAATCATTAACATTGAATTACCAATGATTTCTGTTTTTGTCATTCCTGAAAATAAGCTAACGTCATCAATTTCGATTGAAATGAGTCCATGATATTCAGTCACTAATACCACCTTAAAAACTTCTACGAATAGTGTCACCACTAATAGTAAATAAAAATAGCGACAATCCGACTAACCACCTGCCTATAATAATTGGAAGCCGGTAAATTAAGCTTATGAAGCTCGCTTTAATAAAACGATTTAAAATGAGCAAATATACTAATATTTAGGAACATTTAGTTTTCTATGTTCCCCATTTTTCGTTGACAAATAGCCATGAAATAGGAAACTAGCCGAGTTGAGAACTGCAGATTATGAGTAGAGTTCCAGTAATTTGTTCTGACAATCACATATATATACATAGAGTTAGATCAGTTACCTTTCTCAGCGCCTTCTTTGATTTTCTCTCAGATACTTCAGCATCTAACATCAATTGCATGAGATCTACCCGGTCCTGAAATACAGATTTTAGTCATGATTATGAAATCCTCCACGAATATAACGTATTGCACTTTTGTTACGTATTACACAATTTTTTTGTGTTGTCGTGTTTTTTCTTCAATAAATATCTTCAGCAGTTATAAAACATTCGTTTACTTACGTGTCTATGTGGATCTTCTTGTCGTTGATTTATTACGTGTGTTGCCAATTTTTTAAAGTAGTTTATTCCATGACCGTTCATCAATGAGAAGTTGAATTTTGCAAAATATTTTTCAAGAGATGGAAAGATAACTAAAATTACAAGCACAAAAATTGATATTCTGAATAATAAATATATTTTTGTCGCTGAGAATTAGTATTTTCACATAAATGAAGCATATGTTCCGGAGTGAAAGATAATATTAACGTACATTATTGCTCATGGGAACAACATGTAGATATCTAATCAATCAGATTTTTCGATTTTTGCTGGTTAGCATGAGTACTGGCTGCACAATAACTTATATTTAGACGTAAAAAATGTTGTCAAAAAAAGTTGTCGTCTAAGCCTGATAAAAAATGTGGTGACGGAATTGGCAAGCTTCGTTACTTAATTGCCCGTGTGACTGTAAGAGAAGAGCTAAAACAAGCCATATCTACAAACCAAATCTTACGACGATTTACAGCAAAATTATACAGTTTAATATCCAATCTGAGTCATATTACTTCTAATCAAACTTACGGAACACTATGATAAGAGGACTGAGTATTGATCCGCTAAACAACTTTTTGGCATTTTTGGAAATTTCTGGCTCTTCTACTCTGTCATCCTGCGAGTGAACTTTGGTACTGAATGCTGCTGAGCACACTATATCCAATGAAAGACGGGAAAATATTCTGGAATCAAAAATAAAGTAGCCTTTAGAATGAACGTGACTCGTTATTGTAAAAATGTCAGAAGAAGGTTCATTTCGAATCAAGGTACTGAAAGAGATTGTAGTAGAAACTTACTCTTTTGAATTAAATACCCCCCCGTTATTTTCAATTTTTCTATTGAGTGCATCAACAGTATTGCCGGCACACCAGTCGATTATACCACACATTTGCTTCAGTTTGGAAGTAGAAAACGTTGGTGTCATGGTATTTCTGAAAAAATGAGATATAACATTTTTGAGAAAAATTCATTTTAATTCCAATTCATGATAAACATATTTCTGATTCCTCCACTTAATTTGAGGAAATCAATATTTTAGTTACTTCTGGCCGGCGCGTGATTTGAATTACGGATTTAGAATCCAAATACCTACCGACACTAAAATCATAGGTCATCTTAAAAAGCACTTGAGAAAAACTGTGTGCTGTGATTGCCTTCCGTAATAAAAAGATAAGCAAATTGCTTTTTTGATATCTTTATTTCTTACCTTATCCGCTTCCATTGATTCCCCTGTACGGCAGTTAGGCCAGTATTCAGCTCTTTTCCATTTACCTTGATTAAACTTTTCTAAAATTTAAAATAACGTAAAGTTAAATAAAGTCAATAAGTTTTTAACCAACATAATTTATTGAACAAAAGCCGCTCAACGAGGGATTTTATTTGCCTCACACAAGGGGTGATATAAGGCTATATATATGACGTTTGCACATGCGTGTCCATTTTTGCATATTACGTTAGCAACAAGTGGCATGGAACGGCAAAGATTAAGCTTGACAAATTGAGTAGTATCATACACATAATTATGTAAAACAATATTGGGGTAGAAAACACTTCATCAAATTTTTATTTTTCTGTAAATATTTTCTTCTGGGCTGATATACAAAGTTGCAATGTGTACCCAAATAATTTAATTAAAAAGGTGATTATATTCAGTTTTATCTTTAGCAGCACTAACCTGTCTGTCTGGGAATGTTTGAAATTCTTTGATAAAAATTTGTCTCAAAATATCAGGATCGTGAACTGCTATTCTGGGGGTTACTCCTATGAATGCCCTGTTAAAAATAATGAAGTGATAAAGACCACGAACATATAAATATTCCGCGATATTTTTTCCGGATAAAAATATTTCAAGATCGCAAACAGTATTCAGTTTTGAAAGGGGTACAGTGCGCACATACATATTACAACGTTTCGTGTAAGACGAGCTATCCACTTTAGTCATTTTCGATTGATAAATTTAAATTTACTCGAGGAGTGAGCATGCATAAGTAGTTCGTGATTTACTTTTGATAGAAGCGGGAATAGTATAATAGAAATCCTCGAAAATTATTCCAATTCACTTCCATTTTTAAATCCCGAATATGTGAAACGAACTATTAACATAATCGTGCAATTATAAGACAGCGAAGCATGTCAGTATTTTTACACACTGCACTGTCGACAAGTACATTCAAAATTGAATTTATTGCTTAATAAGTAAAATTTCATACCCCCAGATATTTCCATATTTCTTCTTACATTGATTGTCATATTCGAACGCATTCTACAAAATTAACTTGTTCTTCATATTTGGTAAAAAAAGACGATTTGTCAGTACGTTACAGCATAAACAATAACAAACAAAGCATAAATTGCAGATTATTGTCAATATGCATGGACGATAAGTAATCGAAATAAACTTTTACTATATATCAATGGGTGTCAGATCCTCACTCAGTGAAAATATGGCTAGGGCAGCCGAATACTCGAAAGCGGATATAGTCTTAAATTATGCTCCAATCATTCAATTTTTCTTTTCCTAATATGTACGTGTGTGCACTTATATTTGAGATACCATGTATCTATTGTTCAAATTTTTTTGAGCAGTAATTCATGTCTGAATTAAAATCGTTTTTGATCGTTGCACAAGATTAATTTGCTTGGCGATTGCAATCTTAATGTCTCGTTATGTCTATGAATCTAATGGTTGATTAGTCGCAAATATACCAATAAATTACAGAAATTAGGTTGCAACGAAGCATTCTGGATTTCAGCATCCAATTCATCTTAATTACATCCATGCCACAGGTTTATAATTGCAAATCCTATGAACTCATCGACTTACATCTTTATCGAAGGCGGAAAGTATATTTCCGAGCTTTAGTACAGACGGTGGATTGTAAGGAATGCCGAGCTTTTCAAAATACCTCCATTTCTGGTTCAAATAATACCTAAAAATAGAATTGACTCGAATCAGTAAGTGTCCATAAGATATCGAAATGGAAAATTACTATTAAATAACGTAATTAAGAAACGAGAATATCGGTCAGAAACCGAAGACTTATCGATCGAAAGTAAGAGATCCCTCAAAACAGCGCTCTTACTCCATAGTGACACCGTGTGTCCCATCACTAATTAATTAATAACTCGCTAGCTATACGACATAATTCATCCAAAATCAATAGGCTTCTGGTCCGACATATGATGAATGCACATGCGAAATCTGAAGCAGATTCAATCTCGCTTTCGTGAGATATCGCGTGCATCTAACAGACAGACAGACAGATAAATACCCTTCAACATACTTACCGATTAAAATCGATAAGTAAAAATGTAAACGTTCAAGCAAACAATATTGTACTTTTGACATCAGGAATTGCGGGGTCAAGCATCTATTTATTAGTGTAGTGCAAATCAAGTCGGAATTGACAATAAAGAATCATACACACTAACCTGATGAGTAATATCACGCTTGCAATTAGGATCCACGACTCAATAGATAAAATATCCAATGGAGTTATCATCATATATAGCTGTTTAGTGTGATTATATTAGTGCAATTTGTATGAGTCTAAAAGTCAAGTAATTATCGTGATAAGCAAAGGCCCTTTCAACCCATCGTTATGTAAAAGCTGCTAGATCCATACCTAAGTATAGAAGCATAATTACAATTATAATCAGTTTAACATGACTGTCGCATGTCGTAATACAGTAATTCAATTTTCTCCATAGATAATTAAATATTGCCTCTAATGCATAACGAAATCGCCATTCGGTATCCACTGGACAATCGCGAAAACTAATTTTTGGAGCTGGAGTAGTGTACAAACACAATTTATAGAACTGCCTCTGTGAGCGAATAAAATGGTCAAAACAATAGGTTTTTTGAACCCAATGAAGTCTGCCGGGTATGTCAACGAGACTATGCTTTATTCACATATTTCAAGTGGCTGTAAGACGTTTGTCCAAACAGCGTGTTTACCCGTGTTGACAACTCGATACACTCGGGAAAACTAAGAATTGGCTACCTATGTATGAAATCCATGAAGCTTAAGCTAATGCAGTATTGTAACATCTATTAGGATTATATGTCCACATGCCATTTAACAGTAACTAGAATTGGATATTAGTATCGGTTGTTGGTACTTAACTCGAATGCCCAACTATTTGTTACACATGCTTCTTGGTTTAATTTAAATGACATGTTGAATGAAGACCTTCAGATCGACGAATTCGTCCTATATTAGCACTACAAGTACCGCCATTATACTACACTACAATATAACAAGCGAATGAAAGCAAACATTACTATCCATTATACGTACGAGTAGTGTATGACGTCTTTGTTGTTGTCGGTACGCTATTCTCTTTACGCATCACGTTGCAGCACAACCATACGGATATTTTGTTTAAGCTTAAACAGATTGAAGCACTAAATGTCAATGTTCATATTCACCGGTAGGTCTTGAAATGCCTACCTATCCAGTATATAGTAAATACTAAACAGAATACCTTTAGATGTGCGTGGACGCTAGTACGGTCTTGCTGAGCACGAAAGGCCTGAATAAGCGTCGAACAAAAATATATATTATAATTATAAACACATTCTCCAATTCACTTCCTGCACCAATTCCGTTATCATATATTCAACGTTTCCTCTTTCGTTACCACCACCCTACGTATAAATTCTTTTGGCAATGTACTCTGCGCTCAGAATTGCTTTATATAACTATAGCGGGTTCATTTATGCTGCTTTCGGGTTAGCGTCGTGTCCTTTCACGTGATCTTCATATTGATCAAAGCAACGAAAATTACACGTTGGAGGTTTTTACGTTGTCGGAATTTTATTGGGTTGCAACACAAATCGGATCACGAGTTAGATATCAAGTTGTTCACCGTGATGTTACTTATAACTACGTTAAATTAAGTGGTGATGACGATGATATTGTGACGTGGAACCCAAACAACATTATTTTCTGTTAGAAAGTGAATGTAACAATGGGATAACCGTGTATTTCGCAAATAATATTATTTTAATTTTAGCCGTTCCGCAACTTCGTCGCCGACGACACTGTTATAAGTTCGGCTTTTCCACGATTATGTTATTGATCTAGCACAGTGCTCTTGAACCTTTTTGTTATTGCGGAACCCCTGATATCATTTTTTATGGAATTCCAAATAACAAAAATAAAATTAAACACGAAATACTCGTAACACGAAATATTTGTAATTCAAATATTTCTACTTCAACAACGAAACAGAAAGAAGGTAACAAGCGTGAAATCCAATGACTAGGTTGTTCTTGCATTTACTTTGCAACCTTCTTGGATCGTGGCTCCACGGCGCTCAAAGCAATTCTCATACTCATGTCTACACTCTTTAAAAACCTCTTTTTTGTTTTTAATAGTTGTTAAAGCAGAAAATGCTAATTTACACAAATAGGTATTGGGAAATTGACACAGAAGTTTTAATGCTTCTTTTGCAATGGCTGTACCCTCTTTGTGAAGAAAAACCAAAAGATAATCCTTTCCATGTTCCACTTAAAAATTCATCCTAAAACGGAAACAAAGAATAATCATTTTTTGCAACTTTACTGGCTCAGCAGTCAATTTCCTTTACGCAGAACCCCTAAGAAACCCTATAGACTCACGGAACCCCACTGCATGTGTTGCGGAACCCTAGGGTTCCGCGGAACCCCTGTTGAAGAGCACTGACTAGCATGCTTAGATTTCGACAGCAGAAAAGCAACTGATCTAGCGGAAACTAACATATGATAGCTCACTGCTGCAATGGTAAGAGTACAAAACTGAAAATAACAATCTGCATTTTAACTCGTGTTAAATGTAATGAAAAATATTCATTGGGATTCTATTATAGGAACCGGTTAATATTTGTTAACCCAGCACCCGATTCTCTCTGTTTCCGTTAGTGCAGAGCTGAACCCAGCAGACACGAATAGTAACAAAGCAACCAACCTTATATTTGTTGTATTGACAACACAGAGCAGAATATAGATCAAGATCAAAACCAGTGAGTTTAATTTAAAGAATTATTGTCCGTTTATATACAATAGTCGAGACGCCTGTTATGCCTTTAGGGTTTAGCTTTTACGTGGATATCGTTTATAATAAATAAAGTAAGAATGCCGTAATTAAGTCTCGGCAATTCTTGTAAAACGATTTAGAAGGATGTCTGTAGCCAATTAAATAGTTAGCTATAAGTGGTCGAGTGATTAAAACGGCTTGTACTAAGTTTGTCTTGCTCAAGGGCAAGATAACGTGTTTTTAACTAACGGGTTATTCCTATGAAAGCCAATTAAAGTATTTAACGTAAATTTCATTTTTTCTACCTTTTTCAAATTCAGAAGAAAATCTTGTCCTAAGCTGGAATTACTTTTTTTCTTACTGTTAAAAATATGGTCTAATTAACTAATAATAATCCCTACATAATAATTCGGCCCTAAAGAACGGAGTTCGGGGTTTCGGCATAACAAACGTGTCAAAATTGTACAGATTTCTAAAAAGATAACAAAAGAGAAAAACATAAAATTGTAAGTGAAATTGAAAATATATCGTAAAATTGAAATATAACGTCATAAATTGAGTGATTTAAAGTTATCCCTGATGATGAAATATTAATTTAAATTTAATAACGAAAAACATAATAAAATGATATCAATAAACCAATATATACTTTTTTTTTTTTTTTTTCATATTTTTTTTTTTTTTTTTTTTTTTTTAAATATTTATTCAAGTGATATTCACCAAACAAAATATGTGATACAATACAATGTAAATAAGAAAAACATGTCACCAAGAGAGGTGAAAATTTCAAGAAAGGAGATGGGGTATAGATTGGGTAGGTTATTGGAAGTATGGGGGGCATGTATAGGTACAGCAGTCCTCAGTGTCTTCTCTATTTGTTCCATTTACGTTTGGCAAAGGTTCTACAGGATTAAGTTCCTGAGCGGGGTTTCTAAAATTCATCCAAAATTGTCTAGCTCTGTTATATACAGGCGTTGACGAGGTTTTGAGCATTGTATCATACGCTTTATGACGAGTATGGTCAATACAATACCCCAAAACATTCCTAAATGCCATGCTAGCATGTAGAAAGCCGACAAAATTGGATGACTGATAAATGATAAAGCGTTTACAAAGTTGTCTTCAACTTTGTTTTTAGTTGTAGTAAATTGGTTGTTTGTATTTGTTTCGGAGGACGACTTGTGATCCAATAATATCTTTTCTTTGATCAAGTTCAGGTGATTGATCGAAATTAGAATATTATTGAGAATCTTCGAAGCCTGAGTGTCCTCCGTGGGGCATATCTTGGAATATCTTTTGATATTCCATTGGTTTAAAGGTTTCGTTGATTTTGGTAAAGAAGCCTTAGAGATTGTATGTGGGCATTTGTATGAGTTAGCGTGTAATTGATATACGTATAGTATCGCCCATTGATTGCAAAAGTAAACGTTCGTCCGGAGACGAAGTTTTCAAAAAAATGTATACCTGCGTAGACATTCGTATCTGTAAATATCTGCGCAACTATGGTAACATTATTTTTGTTGAGAAACGTTACAAGTGCCTTGTTGCATAAGTATTATTATAGTATAGTGATCGTAATATAGTAACGTTATTTGCTCACAGTGTATTTCTGTGAGGATATCCCTACCGTTATAGCAGCATGTTTGCCTCCTAACACTTCATTTAAAATTTGACCTGGATATTGTTTACTTAGAGTTTGTATATTCGGGTTAGAATACTTTCCAGTTGACACTCGAGGTAATTGATGTCTGATGATATATTAACAATTACCTCGGTTACCCTGTCAGTATTTTCCTGAATAAAGCCAGTCAGAGTGCTAGAAACAGAATCTACCAACTACGGAATTATACCTTAGTTTTGGGTATTTAGAATTGATGAAACCAGCAGCTTTCAATGAAGAACATTTGTGAGTTTCAAATAAAAGTGCATTATTTGTACAAAATGTTTTTGTATTAAAACATCTTGAACATAAGCACCACATGAACCCCATTGGTGGATGCTGGCTCCCAATTCCGGAAAAGTCTAATCGGTAAATGTCACCCGACGCAATTATAGCAATGCCATTTTCGAATTGAAATTTTTAAAAGGGGGACAATCTATTAATGGGTAATTTTCCAAATAATTGTTTGAGTACCTACAGTACAAGATCCGGAAGTAATACTGCAAGTGGATAATCCTGAAAATGGGCCTAAAAGAATACCTTTTATATGGTCATAATAATTGTTGTAAGAGCCAAATGTGCATTAAAAATTTTCCCAGTTGTGGTTGTTGGCCAATTATATTCGTATTTTACTTCATTATCAGTAGACAAGTATTTCTGAGGTTACTTTCAAATCACCAATATTTTCAGCTTTGAGAGAATGAACCCAATCTTGACAATATAAAGAAGTTGGAGGATCGCCATATAAGATTTAGATTTGTCATAAATCGACCAAAAAAAGAATCTAGTTGCCTGCCATTCTGTGACAGATTTTTGGCAGACATACACTGTAATATTAGTGTATGCTGAAGATAATTTATGTACCGTGGCATCGCAATAATCTACGCGGGTGATAGTATTTCGTTTACAATTTGGTGGTTCCGGTATGGCATATTCTGCTACGGGTAACTTTTGGATCACAAAAATTCACTGACACTGTTGGGCTAGGGAGTTAAAAGGAAAAGCATAAGAATATATACATACATTTACGAGAAAACTAATAATAAGCGTAATCATGCTGGCGGTTGTGGCGTGTCGTTCTGCCGGAACGCGTTGTTGTTGGCGTTCAGGCCTGTTTAAAAACATAACGCTGTTTCAGTATTCGGCTCAGTTGGTATTTCTATGTTCTGTTTCGATTATGCGCGGTTTTATTCTATCTATACTAACAGGTTTGAGGATTACCATTAATATCTATTTTATAGTACTTTTGCATGTTTTTCTAACACTTGGAATGGACCAATATAGGCGGTATCAAAGGTTTTTTAACTGCATCAACACGTAAAATACATGTGTGCAATCTTTTAATTCTTTAAAATATGAAGGGTTTTCTATTTCTGGTATTCTTGGGTTTGTTGGTTTTAAGTCTTGGACGAATGTCCTAAGACGCGCTATAATATTCATTAGGTGATTCTAAGTCCAGGTTTATATTGTTTTGAAAAAAATCCCCAGGTAAACGTAAGGATGATCCGTATACTAATTCCGCCGAGGATAAACTTAATCTAATTTTATTGCAGTACGTATCCCTAACAAACTAAACTTAAATTTTGATAACCATCGTGGTTGTTTGAACATTGTGCCATAAGTGAAGCTTTAATTTGTCTAATGGGTCGCTCAGCAGTTGCATTACTACAAGGGTGATAACTTGTAGTACATATATGCTGACTTTCCTAAAAATTTATCATTTTGTCCCACAAAGAACTTCTAAATTGAGCACCCCGGTCAGTAGTTATTACCGTTGGGAGATCCAATATCTTACTTACCCATGATAAAAGAAAAGTTTTAACGACAGTTTCGGCAGTTATATCTCGCATTGGCGTTACTTCGGCCCAACGGGTAAATTTATCAACCGTAATTAATAAATAAGAATAACCGTTCGAAACTGGCAAAGGTCCAATTATATCAGTATTTACTCTGAAATCTTTTTATTGGGAGCTAAATAGGTTGTAAGGGTGAAATAGTATGTCTAGTTATTTTAGATTTCTGGCATGGGGATACAAGCTCGACACATTTTCCTAATATCTGAATTCA